TGATGGCACTCTTTGAATCCTGCAAACAGCCTATTTTAAGTATTCTGGCTCATGATGTAGGCCTCCTTATATACTTATTTATTTAAAACATTTCTATGTGGCTTTCCATATGTCAGCTTTACCAGAGAATTTGTAGAAGAGGAGCTCTGCAGTTCCACAGTGGTGTGCTTTTCTAACGCTGTGCTTTTTCCTATGCTGGGCAATCATACAAACATTACTAAGAGCCAGCATGGTGTAGCCTCAAGTGTCAGCCTAGGATCTGGGAGACACTCGTTCAGATCCCTCACTCTGCCACCAAAGCTTGCTGGGTGACCTTAAGCTAGTCATGCGCTCTCAGCCAAACCTTCCTTAAAGGGTTGTTGGGAGGATAAAATGGAGAACGACGTAAGCTGCTTGGGGTCTGCACTAGGGAGAAAGGTAGGGTATAAACAAAGGCAATAAACGTTTACTTGCAGAGTTATGGGATACAAGATCCCACACACCAAGCGTTAAAGGGTTCAAATCGTTAAGTGATGTATGGATGTTAAGTGATTAACAGGCCACAACAAGGTGTTCTTACTTCCTGAAGTTTTTTCTATGCAGACTGAAGACTTTGCTACAAGGAGCCAAGGTGCACTATAGACTGTTTTGGCAACCATTAAGAAAAAAAATCTGTTCAATTTTAACCATCTACACACCTTCAGCCTGCATTTAAATTCTTACTTCCCTGTTCTGTTTCTTGACAGGTTGGCCAACGATGGAGAGGGTGTAGTCAACATCCGTAAGTATCCTTTGGAATATTCCTGTTTTGGGGATCATGGTTATTCACCAAGCAAGAAGGGTTCCCAAGGTCTGGACTTAATTGTCCCCTGATAGGCCTCCTCTTCACCCACTCATAATGCAATTGCATTGATGCAGTGATACAGCTTATGCGCTGAAGCAATATTCTATGTTTAGCTGTATTAATGTACTGCTGTGATTTATAAGGGGCTGGTTCAAGTGCTCTTATGCCCAATCCTACCCTCTTTTTGCCTTGCCTAGCAAACCATAGGACATTTAACTTGCCATTCATTTATTTTAGCCAACTGAGAGGTGAATTCTTAATCAGCTGTGTAACCTTCTTTCCACAGAGGTGGTGTCTTCAAATGCAGGGCACAGAAGTACTGCTGGAGGCGGAAGCAGTCTCAGCCCAGAAGAAGGAAGCCATGTACGCGTGAGAGGAACACATGTAGGTCTAGAGAGCCAACTTGATGCTGGAAAAGCCACCTTCAGTTCTGGGAGTGGCTGAGGCACTGGAGGAGGTCTGAACCTCGGAGGCAGCAGCAGTTCTAGTGTCAGATTTGCTTCCTCTTGTCAAAGTTACAGAAAATAAAATTCAAATTCCCCATCTCACATGAAAGCAAACCACATGACCTGGCCAGCTCCATAATCAATCAGGTTTCCCACAATTCCGCATAGAAATTGCAGAGGGTCCAACCCCCCATAGTCTGTCTACAGTTGCTGTCAAGTAGAAAATGTGATATGTGAACCGCATCTCAGCTCCTGCCACAATCCATCACAATACACACAAACCTCTGCTTTGACTATCTGAACAGCTTTTTTCCAGTTTGTTTCATCATACCTGGAAATATACAAAACGCTGCTTTCCTATTGATACATTTTGTCTTAGTCTGCCAAGAGTATTTCTGTAATTTTGGAACAGGCACAGATATAGTTTGCTCTTTTCCCACCATTTGGCAAGTTTTCCCCATCCCTGGAAGAATCTTATTGTTTAGAAGTGAAGGATGTGTGCTTCCTAAAAAAGGCTCATGTCTTTTAAATGAATGGGGAACGTGTGCTAAAATCTATCCTAATACTGACAATAAATTATTACAGCCACCTTGGTGAAATTTAGCAACAAAACGACCGTTGGTACTCACCGTGAGAGGTCCTTCTCCTCTGAGGACTGGAGGACATCTGATTGTGGGTGATTCCCACCCTCCTTTCAGGGAGGCAGGACTTCCAAGAACTTCCTGTTTCCTGTGTGGGAGTCTAAACTATCACTACTGGATGAAGAGGGGGTGACGAGGGGGTGACGAGGGGATGACGCTCTCCTGAGGGGTGGTGGCAATATGCAGATCCTACTCCTACATCAAAGGTGCCTTTTGGCAAGGTGTGAATCTTCCGTTCCCATGGACACCCTCTTGATTTGCAGATCTGGTTCCTGCTCCAAAGCCATAAACGCTATTGTCTTTAGATCTCCAAACCAGATTAAGGGAGTAGGGTCACTTGCTCTTTCCATTCCAAGAATGCCGGGGTTCGCTGGGGATTTTCCATAGCTCTCCAAGTGGGTGCAATGGCGCGGTGTCTTCTCCATCCCACAGAGTCATGGGATACATTCCAGGGACGCACATGGTCCGTATGTGCAACGGCAGGCCCAGGCCAGCCTATTTCTAGGCAAGCATGAGATGCAGAACAAAGCAACACACAACATACAGCAATCCCTGAATACATATTGCATAGGTATTCATGCTAGAGACACACATAAGCAGCATCACCACTATACAGAAATACAAACATAAGCTCATATCGTTACAATGCTAATGAGGTTTCTAATACACAGCCACTAGCCTGAGGGAAGAAGCACAAATCGCCATTATTGTCAGCAAACACCAACTGAAGGAAAAGCATCCCCCATTGATGAACTGTTGATAGACACCCACTACACATCTCTGCTTTACATCTGAATTGATGGTTTCCTGCCAGATGCCTCGTTGATTACCTGGGAAAGGCTGAGCTTCATCTACACATCAAGGAGGTTCCTTGACACCAAACTTTCACACTTCACCAGATGCCATCCCTTGAGTTAGATCTAGAGTTTCAATATTGCCCGGCCTTTAGGTAGCCACCCCTCAGTGCACACAGCCAATGAGGTTAGTTTTGGGAAGGACTTACAGGTAGGTGGGTCCACAAACTGGCACAGATGCCACCCACCCAAAGATCCATCTATAAAAGGTAAGGACCAGTGGTCTGGTCCTTTTCTTCAAACTAATGGAATAATGTACAGGTGGGCGATCCCGGAAGGCGTCATCTTTAAGATTAACGACAAAAGAGAGAAGATAGACTCCAGTGGTCTGGTTCTTGCTAGCTGCCTTCCCCCCAACACCCCCTGTCTGCTTTTAAACTCCTCTCATGCCCAGCTTCCTATACAAAAATCCTTTGTTCCTACTTGATCTCTTGGTCTGCAGCCCACACATGCTGTCTGGTTCCTAGCTGTGTGTTCAATCTCCCTAGTATACTTTTCTAAGCCTCATTCTTCATTGTGACGTGCAAGCTTCAGGACAGATAAGTATTGCTACCCATTACCCTACCTGTAAATGCTAAAGTGACTATTGTTAACCCTGTATTTCTGAGGAACTTGTTTGGTTGTGTGTGTGAATCTGATTTGTGTGTATGTGCTTTATATATTCTTAAGTAAAAGACAGATTGTTTTGGAACACACCTGTCTCGACTCTTTCACTGACGAACCCTTGGGGTGGGTTGGACCTTGGTATACACAGGCAAATAACCCAGATTTAAATTTAGTCTCCCAGCTGTTGTAGATAAAGCAGCTCGGCTAACAAACTGTACTTGTTTCTCCCATGCTGCAACGAACTATCTCTTTAGCACATCCCAATACAGCTTGAAAAGATTTGCACTCTGAGGCCAAGTTCAGGATTGGATATATAATGGTGCTGCAGAATATGGAAAGTGAAAAAAGATGGAAACAGCCTTTTTCTTTCATTCCCTTGCTCCCTTCTCCATGTTGTCTAACTGACTTGAAAAGCAACAAAGGATGCCCTCCGGCCATTTCTTCTGAGATGGAAAAAGAACTTCTAATTGTTATTGTATTGAGGACCACAGGTTTGGCAGTTTGCAAGTAGGAATTCCCAGACCACATGGATTTAGGAGTGCAATTCCTGTCATCTCCTCCTTGGACTGGTATTCTAGCATCCTTGATATGGACTCCACAAAATCTCCCTCAAAGCATGATTTCAAGACAGAGCCAATGAGAGGCAGTGATCTTGGACTTTGTTGTGAGCAAATCTTATGGCCTATTACAAGATGTAGATGTTATCGCACCAATTTGGAATAGTGACCACAATGCTTTTTTCAGCATTCTGGTCAATGGAAAGTTACCCCTAAAGTCCAAAACTGTAATATTTGATTTCAAAAGAGGGAACTTTAAAAAAATGAGGGGAATAATAAAAAGGAAGTCAAATCCCTAGAGGATTCTTGGAAGCTATTTAAAACCACACTAATTTAAGCCCAAATAGAATGCATTCCACAGGTTAGGAAAAGCACTGCCAGGCCTAAAAGAAGAGATCGATCTTGCCTGGGCTATCCAGGTCAGGGCTATTTTCAGCATTCTTGTCAATGGAAAGGTACCCCTAAAGTCCAAGATCACTGTGCAATTCACTGCCAGAGGATGTAGTAATGGCCACAGGCATAAACTTTAAAAGATTAGACAGATACCTGGAGTATATCAGTGGCTACTATGGTGAGTAAAGGCAACCTCCACATTCAGAGGTAATAAACCTCAGAATAGCTGTGCCAGGAGGCAACATCGGGGAAGGCCTTGGCCTCTATGTCCAGTTGTTGGCCTTCCATAGTAATTGGTTGGCCACTGTGTGAGATGGGATACTGGAACAGATGGACCACTTGTCTGATCCCTCAGGGTTGCTCTTATGTTCTTCATACAGCAGTCTTGCTGAAGGAAAGTGGGTCTGGGCTTGGTTGGCTGATGGATGGAAGAATGCCTTGGAGCCACATTGCTGCTTTGAGTCCCATGATGGAAGACAGACAGTATATAAAAGCACTTAATAACTTCCCCATGGTTCCCCCATCAACATTTCTTTTCTTTCTTTTTTTGGCCCCCTGGAGGGGATTTTTATCGCTTTTTTAATTGGACTACAAACTACAAAGAAATAAGGGAAGGGAACTATAATTAAGGAGAAATAAAAGATAACCACTACTAACTAAAACCCCAAGAGTAGGAGATCATTAAAACAGCTTAAGTACAAAATCTTTCCTTGAATCACTAATATCTTTTGAACTTAGTCAGACATGCTAAAATATCTTTTAACACTTAGATTTAACTGTTAGAGAGAAATCCCAGAGCATCCCATTATTAAAAACCATATTTTCAAAGGCACAATTCAGAGTCCTTCAGCCTTCATTTTTTCTTTTCTTGTCTTTTCCTCAGTTTATATGGACTTTTAGGCTCAGCTGTCCCTTTTTCAGAAAGAGAGTCCTCTCTGGAAGACCCCAAGCCAACTCGCCACTGGACTTACTGTCTTTCTCTTCTTTATCCACCTCCTCTGGCTCGCCCATCTGGATTCTCAAAAAGTCCCGTGCTTTGGAAACAGAGTCAATCTTTCCTGCCATTAATAGCATTCCTGGTGGCACTCTTTGAATCCTGCAAACAGCCTATTTTAAGTATTCTGGCTCTCATGATGTAGGCCTCCTTATATACTTATTTATTTAAAACATTTCTATGTGGCTTTCCATATGTTAGCTTTACTGGAGAACTTGTAGAAGAGGAGCTCTGCAGTTCTACAGTGGTGTGCTTTTCCAACGTTGTGCTTTTCCCCTTGCTGGGCAATCATACAAATATTACTAAGAGCCAGCATGGTGTAGCCTCAAGTGTCAGCCTAGGATCTGGGAGACCCTCGTTCAAATCCCTCACTCTGCCATTAAAGCTTGCTGGGTGACCTTAAGCCAGTCATACACTCTCAGCCGAACCTTCCTTAAAGGGTTATTGGGAGGATAAAATGGAGGAGAGAACAACGTAAGTTGCTTTGGGTCTGCACTAGAGAGAAAGGCAGGGTATAAACAAAGGAAATAAATTAATGTTTACTTGCAGGGAGTTATGGGGTACAAGACCCCCACACACCAAGCAGTAAAGGGTTCAAATCACAAAGTGATGTATGGATGTTACGTGAATAACAGGCCACAAGGTGTTCTCACTTCCTGATGCCTTTTCTATGAAGACTGCAGACTTTGCTACAAGGAGCCAAGGTGCACTATAGACTGTTTTGGCAACCATTAATAAAAACAAAATCTGTCCAATTTTAACTATCTCCACGCCTTCAGCCTGCATTTAAATTCTTACTTCCCTGTTCTGTTTCTTGACAGGTTGGCCAACGATGGAGAGGGTGTAGTCAACATCCGTAAGTATCCTTTGGAATATTCCTGTTTTGGGGATCATGGTTATTCACCAAGCAAGAAGGGTTCCCAAGGTCTGGACTTAATTGTCCCCTGATAGGCCTCCTCTTCACCCACTCATAATGCAATTGCATTGATGCAGTGATACAGCTTATGCGCTGAAGCAATATTCTATGTTTAGCTGTATTAATGTACTGCTGTGATTTATAAGGGGCTGGTTCAAGTGCTCTTATGCCCAATCCTACCCTCTTTTTGCCTTGCCTAGCAAACCATAGGACATTTAACTTGCCATTCATTTATTTTAGCCAACTGAGAGGTGAATTCTTAATCAGCTGTGTAACCTTCTTTCCACAGAGGTGGTGTCTTCAAATGCAGGGCACAGAAGTACTGCTGGAGGCAGAAGCAGTCTCAGCCCAGAAGGAAGCCATGTACGTGTGAGAGGAACACATGTAGGCCTAGAGAGCCAACTTGATGCTGGAAAAGCCACCTTCAGTTCTGGGAGTGGCTGAGGCACTGGAGGAGGTCTGAACCTCGGAGGCAGCAGCAGTTCTAGTGTCAGATTTGCTTCCTCTTGTCAAAGTTACAGAAAATAAAATTCAAATTCCCCATCTCACATGAAAGCAAACCACATGACCTGGCCAGCTCCATAATCAATCAGGTTTCCCACAATTCCGCATAGAAATTGCAGAGGGTCCAACCCAGTCTGTCTACAGTCTTTACTAACTCATCCATCATGCGTTTCACATGACCAAGTAAAAATAACTGTACAGTTGCTGTCAAGTAGAAAATGTGATATGTGAACCAGATCTCAGCTCCTGCCACAATCCATCACAATACACACAAACCTCTGCTTTGACTATCTGAACAGCTTTTTTCCAGTTTGTTTCATCATACCTGGAAATATACAAAACACTGCTTTCCTATTGATACATTTTGTCTTAGTCTGCCAAAAGTATTTCTGTAATTTTGGAACAGGCACAGACATAGTTTGCTCTTTTCCCACCATTTGGCAAGTTTTCCCCATCCCTGGAAGAATCTTATTGTTTAGAAGTGAAGGATGTGTGCTTCCTAAAAAGGATCATGTCTTTTAAATGAATGGGGAACGTGTGCTAAAATCTATCCTAATACTGACAATAAATGATTACAGCCACCTTGGTGAAATTTAGCAACAAAAAGCTATAGTGCTGGGGGAGGAAAGGCTCAACAGTTTCCCACACCTGTGTGACGACGTCTCCTTGCTTTTAGCTCTGGTAAAGAAAAATACCTGTACCAAGATGGTTCAACCATTGTGTATATAAAAAGAAACGTGCAACTTTGGAAAAGGTTAAGCAGATATTAGGTTAGATAACAGGCTAGCTTTCTTGCTGATGAACACAGTGTCAGACTCTGGTTCGCCTCTTAAGTCTGATGTCTACACCAGTAGTGTTAATAACCTGCTTCAATGTAACCGACAGTGTCAGACTGTTAATAACCTGCTTCCATGTAACCCGCACCCCGTCCTCCCCCCTCGCTTTCCCAGCTGTATCTAACTGCCCGCTTATCGCTTGCCCTCGCTGACATTTCTGGTGGGAGGGAGGGAAGCTGAGGGTGGGAGGGACTCTGTGTGAATGTCTGTAGTTTAGGGAGGCAATGCAGTAACCACTGTCTCAAGGAGTATTCCCATGGGAATGTCCTTGAAGATAAGACTTTGACTGGCTAGTTGAACCACTGTATCTGTCTGGGTTCTTAGGATTGCTTATACTTGTGACTCTGTGACGCATGACTGGAACATGGGTTTTAGTTATACCCTGGGTCCCCGCTTTCCCCCCCTCATTCTTTTACAGTATCTCAAATCTCTTCAATAAACTTTCCTTCAAGAAAGCCTTTGTTCAAGAGTGAGTTGACTGAAGGCCTGAGAAGAGTCTCCCTCTGATCACACAAAAAGGTATATGTTGGGGAACAAAGAACCTAAATGGACAAAAGCCACATAGGATAGAGGCGGTAATAAGGAGAATTTGACACACTTGAGCAAGAAAACCTGGCTGGATTTAATCCATTGACACACAACTGAGGGAAGTGCAGAAATTGCTCATATACAAACACTGCACTGAAGTGGTTTGGCGTATTCCCACAGCCTCCTGTGAAATTATGTAAATACAATACAATCCACCAGATTACTATTTAGGTGGCTTGATATCTACAGCATTACAAACCGAAAATCTAGATTCAACAGTCGGTGCACAAGTTGGACTAGAACAGATGTGAATAGACTTAAACGAAGCCTGCCACTCAGCCCCGACATTTCCATGACCTTGTTGTAAATGTTGGGGGCAAGGGAAAGCTTTTTTTAAAAAAAACACTCTGCAAACTCTAGTCAACTTCTTTGGAACGCTGGCAGAGGCCCACCCGAAGCTGCAACACTCCTCTGCAGGTAATGGGAGCAGCTCAGCTGCCGTCCGCAGAGGACTCTGCTCCTCCTCACATGGTAGTAGGAATGCAACAAGACCGAACTACTATTTTTTGTATAAAAGAAAACCTAAGCACAAAGCAAGAAGTGGTGCAGAGAAGGCAGCAGCAACACAGTTTTAGTGCCAGTTTGTCTTGTTGTGTAGAAATCTACATGGGCTGCTCCAGAAGAAGCAATTGTGCAGCAATGAAGGGAGTTGAGTTCGAGCAGAACCTATATTTTGTGCTTAGTAAGGCTAGGGTCCCTTCCCATTGGATTAGAGGAGCATATCGCTGTATATAAGAAGCTGCAATTTTAATCATGATTTACAAACCGCACATCATTTACAGAGATAAATAAATCCTAGAAAACCCCGGTATGGTCTGCCGCATACATTTACAAAAAACAGATATATCATTCAATGCTGTTGATGTACGAAAATTAAAAGTGGGCCTGAGCTGTGAACTGCTGTTACTGATATAGTAGCCCAGTGACTTGCCTGTCACGAAGTTCAGAATAGGAGTTCTGTGAGGTGTCATAGAAAGCCCTCCAGGCCACGGCATGCAGGTGACAAAACTGGGGCAAGGTAACTTTGTGATGAGAAAGGGACTACCATCTAACACGGATACTGAATTTAGAAAAATCCTGAAAAGTAGGAACTGTCAAACTATTATCTTTGATAGGGTATGGTTAGTGTTGACTATACTGTTACTGGGTCACAAAACAGTGAAACCAAGGCTTCGAGTCCAGATCAGGAGCCACTTGAGGCTGCAGTGGAAGGGGGAAAGGGGCAAAGTAGCCCTCTGTGGCCAGAAATCCCTTGCCTCTGCAGAAATCCTATGTGGGATTTAAGCCATTTGTCAAACCGCTTTCCTGAGAACAGGGTGGCCATTCACAGCTGTAAACAATAGTGTTTCCAAAAAACAAAAACAAAATACAATAAACTAAAAAAAAGCAGCTTCTTGCTTAGAGGTCAACATCGTTATTTCCCAGAAGCAGCAAGACAGGCGCAGGGGAAGCGTCACAGACACAACTTCAGAGAGCCTGAAGCTCATTTAGAATCTTCCCCAGGATTCTTATGTCAGCGACTCTCCCACATCCCAATCGACAGATCACACTCATGTGGGTGCGGTATTTTTGAGCAACGCTTGCATTTTATACTTCCTCCGCTCAAGAGCTTCTTGCTTTTTCCTTGCAATTTCTTCTTGAGAACACCTCCTGCTCTTCTGCTCTGTAAAAGACGACATGCTTTAGCAGCTTTACAAGGCATGAATTGTACAGTTCAGAACTAGTACCCATCACAGCCTGAAGACAAACTAGCCTTATCTATGGCATTTTATCCCATCTTCACTCTAAAGAGGTCAACGCAGTCATACATCGTTCTCCCTTTATCCTCACAATCATTCTGTAATAACCTGAAAGCCTGAATAAACCTAGTTGTGTCTAAAAGTATGGATATTTTTGAATAATATGCATATTTTTGCACATATTCTCTAACGGGGTGTGGGGGGGTGGTAAACAGCCTTTTTGGGTAAGCAACCTTTTGGGTCCAAGTACCAAAAACCCCATCAGTGTCTAGCCGCACAGAAGTTGTTGGGTCAGCCAATGGAAGAGGGAAGGAGGGGGATGGGCAAGATTTGCCCCTGGCTAGTCAGGCTGGGAGCAAGGCCAGACTGTGGGAAAGAGGCACCAATGTGGGCAGGATGTGGGGAAAATGTGCACCTTCCCTTCCACACAATGTCCAAAGGTGCTTTGGGTTGTGATATTTCCAGAAAGCCCAGGTTTGGGAAAGATCACAGCAAAGCAGGAGGGAACACAGAACTGGGCTTAAGAGAGGAGGATCTAATGCAGAACTGGGAGGATGATGGCATGTAGTCGGGTCCAAAAATGGTGCTGCTAAAAGGAAACTAAGGTGGAGCAAATCCCCCCCACACACACACATACTGTGGGAATGGCCCAGAAAGCAGTCGCGAGTAGAAGCCACCTTTCTGCCACCTTTTCCCAAACTGCTGGCTACAGCAGCTCTCTCAATGTACAGAGGTCACTACAGTGGTCTGGGTAAGGAACCTACTCTCTATCGTGACCAAAACAGGCTTGGTGTGCTGCTGTTTGCCACACGTGCTGGGAGCTGCCTGCCTGTTCTGAAAAAAATAAGCCTATGTTGTATTGTGCAAATGGCACAAAACTGGAGAACACTCCGTTCGCTTTGTAGCGTCCTGTTCCCAGAAAAAAAAGTAGGTTAACAGCAACAAGCAAGTTCCATTGCACAGACAGAAATTCTCCGGTTTCCATCCAGACTTCAAAACTGAACAGAAGATTTTTTTTGGGGGGGGGGGGGTCATTTTTTGGGCAGGTTGTATTTCTTATATGTGTGTGTGAGAGAGAGATAGTGTATGTGCACCTGGAATTCATGGCAACCTCTGGTTACTGGTGACTGACTTTGTGTGCACCTGGAAGTGACAGCAATCTCTGGTGACTGACCCCTACTGGAAGCCTAGAGGATATTCAGAGAGGTGGTTGAATAAAGCCTGTCCCTGCCTCCCACCTTTGGTATTCCAAGGAGGTCTCCCATCCAAGTACTTACCAGAGTTGACCCTGCTTAGCTTCTGAGAACTGACAAGATTGGACTTGCCTGGGCTATTCAGGTCAGGGCTTTTGTTGTTGTTTTCAACTTATCTGACATATCAACAACCACGCTTTCTCTCTCTCATATACACACCAATGTTCCCTCTAAGCTCTGGAGTCTTGTGAGCAAAAATTCTCCTTTGTGAGCGACTGACATGAAAGTTATGAGCGAGGGATCTGGCTCCTGCATCAATCAGTTTGTTCTGGAGCCATCCTTCCTGAGCAAAGACAAAAATGTGTGAGCCGGAGGCTTAAAAACTGTGAGCTAGCTCACACTAACTCAGCTTAGAGGGAACACTGATACACACCCTCTTTTGCTGTGGCTATTATCAGTGCCCTAAAAGTAGCAGTCCACTTATGTTTGGCAAGTTGTGGGAGTAGGGACTGAAGACCACTCAGGACCAAATACACTTCCAGAAGAGTGGCTTTGAGTGGGGAGATCATCTGCTTACCTCACACTTCTCCACTGCCGGCTGTTGTCCGCACTCAGAGCTGTTCCCTGCCACGATGCCAGCCCGCAGGCTCTCACTGTCACCAGTCCCCTCCTCCATGGAATAAGTTTTTGAGTGATTTCCACGACGATGGGACAAGCTCCGGCTCTGCACCAGACTGAGCTGTTTGCGAAGTGCCCGGTTTTCCTCTTCCACTTCCCGCATGCGTACTTCCAGGCTCTCTCTTTCTCGTTGACTTGTGGCTGTGTAGCGAGGGCTGTGGGGCTGAGATTCAATTGGAGACAGTGACACTGGCTTCCCATCTGCAGGGGGAGGGGGGAACAACAGATATTTATTGGCTCAGTTTAAAATTTATGCTCCAGATAAGCAAAGAGAAACTTTACCCTCCATTAGCTTCCAAAACATGTTCATGATGCTTTTGCCCCCTTCCTCTTACACCAAAGACTATACACAAAGAATGCAAAGATTATACACAAAGAATGCAAACCTGCTGCAGTTCTGGCTCCATGTTCAAGTCCTTAGGCTTGGGGTTAGGAAAAACAGAAGAGGGTCTACTGTAAATGCTCAGCATATTACTTCTGGACCTCAGAGGCTTAGGGAGGTTTGGATGCACAGAAACAGAGGCAGCTCCTTTTCCAGGGACGCTTGTACTTTTAAGCCGAGTAAACCCTTCCGTCACACTTTTATTTTCGAGTTTCACTGGAACGGAATTATACCCAGAAATTCTGTTCTGGCCACTTTCGGAAATGGAGCTTATTGTATTGTTTTTTAAAGGGACACGGCTCTGTGGAGGAGCACACTTTGTTGCCCCTAAGTCATGGCTTTGCTTTTGTAATGTGAGCAGTGTTGCAACATCGTTAGAGGATTTTGGAAAGGCACACGGACCACTGCTATGTCTGTCCGAATTTACTGTTCTTTCCTTTATTTTACAGCTTTCCTGAAAAGCACCTGGGAAGGCATTTTGTGGAGTACGTATCAGTTCCGGGTTCTGAGTGATCTGCATTACAAACGAATCGTCTGACAGCAGGTCAGCGCCCCAGTCTTCAAAGTCATCGCTGACAATGTTACTGGACACAACCAGTTCTGTCTTAGAAATAACTGCACTTTGCGGTTCTGTCTTAGAAATAACTGCACTTTGAATGGTTTGTTCAAACACCATTTTACTTTTTCCAGCTGTAGTAAGTCCCCTACAGTCTGAAGCAGGAGCTGAACCATGGCTTTGAGGTGCGCCTGTGGCCACGGATTCATGGGAACCTCCGGCTGTTTCCTCTGAAATGCGCTCTTCCACTGGCACAGCATCTTGGCTATTATGTAAGCCACTGGTTGAAGAACCCTGGCTCAACTCACCACTGCATTTCTGGGGAGAGCAATCAAAAAGGGCATTCAGTGCCACTTCGGCCTCTAGATCTATGGGCTTCTGACTGCTACATTCACAGCGCTCAGCCGTCTCAGCATTCTCCTTAACTCCTCCAAAAGGCAAGGACACGTCAACCTGAGGATGTTCTCCAAGGAGGTGCTTTGCCTCTGACGGAAGGTGGGTAGCATTATGGCAAGGAGCATCTTGCTCCTGGATGGCCTCCGTCAGGTTTTTATCAAACTGTTTTGCCAATTTCATAAGCTCCTCCTCTTTGTTTTTCAGCCGAAGACCTCTACATGAAAGACAAGCAGGGGATGGGGGAGGGGGAAAGTTAGGAATGCAAGGTGCCCTGCAAACAGCCTGCTTACGGGCTTTACGGTTACTGAAAGACGTGTATTTTATCACAGTGGAATTCAAATGTGAAGTGTCTATCTGTTGGTGCTGTAACCAACAGGATATGAGTAATGACTTCTTCCCAGAAAAACCAAATGCCTGCACATGCCCAAACCATTTAAGGGACGCATCCTGTTAGTTGTAGCATCTTCCCAGAAGATGTGTCCCTTAAAAAAATGCTTTGGGCAGGTCCAGTCATTTTGTTTTTCTGGAAAGAAATTATTACGCCTATCAATTTTGTATTAGAATGTTAATTGATTTTTGAGGATGCTTATATACTTTTAAAATGATCTTCCTGTCTCTTGTAGACTAACCGATGGTCAGTGAAGAGCTGGATTTATACCCCGCCCTTCACTTGGGAGTCTCAGAGCAGCTTACAATCACCTTCCCTTCCTCTCCCCACAACAGACACCCTGAGGTAGGTGGGGATGAGAGAGCTCTGAGAGAACTGTGATTGACCCAAGGTCACCCAGCTGGCTGCATGGCCAGGAGTGGGGAATCAAACCTGGTTATCCAGATTAGAGTCCACCACTCTTAATCACCACACCAAATTTATGTGTAGATCTGTCACCACTGTTATAATTTTGTCTTGTCTTTGTGTAAATTCTCTTGTCATTTCTCTTTTATTCTTCTTTAGTTGCTGGATTTTAAGGGTTTCCCCCCCCCCTTTTTTTTTTAAGAAAACAGAATATTTTTTAAAAAGAAAAAAAGCAGCAGTGCAATTCAAACAAGGCACTGATTTCCCTTGAGCTGGTTAAACAGATTCCCAAAACAGTATTCTTCCCTTTTGCAAGTCCAGTCATGGTTTTCCAGGACCTTTATTCTGGTGTGGCTTCCCAACTTACCTTGTGTTATTTACTTTGGTTCTAGATCTCACTTTTACTGTTCCAGGAGTACATGGAATAGCATCGTCGCCAATCCACATCCCAAGAAGGGATCCTTCATAGCAGGAAGGTTTTTCCTCCTGAAGAACAATAAAAATTAAAACTTGTGAACACCACGAGATTATTAGACAAGCACAGAAATCGTTGCAGCGAGGATGGAGTTCACCAGCCTGATGAGGCATATTATGCCATTGCACAGGCATTTCCACTGCAAGCAGTTTGAAATAGACTTGTCAAATAGCAAGCCACAAACTGGCTAACAGTATCGATCTATTAATCACTGTTCATACGGCTGTCACCTTAAGCAGAAATTAGAACCAAAAAAATATTTTAAAAAAACTTAGTATTATTTCTCTTATATTTGATTATTGTGCCTATTAATTTTGCCACTGAGAGGGTGACAGGATCATTTGTATCCGATAGTAGCCATGACACCTGGGATCGCACATTTAGCAATTCCGTATCTTTAAATAAAGGGGTGACTGGTTATCAGTACATTGCAGCTACAGATGTTGACATGAACAGAAATCTGTTTAAAACTGGATTTGTACTAAACGCACTTAACAGTCAATTCACAGTACTGCATTTGAGGTTCTTCTCAATGTCCATGTGACAAGCTAAAAATCATAGGTCTATTTTATGGTACAACAGTATCCAGACCATAATGCAGTGTGCAACAGATTGCACTTCAAGCAGCCATCTCTGAGTTTCCATTCAGTTCACACATGAACCTTCTGCATTCTGAAAAGCCCCCCGCCCATACTTCTTTATTCAGTACATTTTTGCCCCACCCTTCCTTCCAAGCAGCTCGAAGTGATGTTCCTTAATTCTCTCCTCTTCCGTTGTGCCTCGTAATAACTCTGTGTAGGTTAGGCTGAAAATGTATGACTGTCTTAAGGTTACCCAGTGAACTTCATAGTAGACAGGGGCTTTGAATGCAGGCCTTCCAGAACCTAGATGTGAGGAAGAAGACTCAGTGCATTGGTGCAATGGCAGCAAAAGGTTTTGCAGAACTGCGGACGAACACCTGATGGTACTCCCCATTCTAAGTATTCGTTGGACTGCCAAGAGTTGGCTGATGGATAAGCCCCACTGCAGCCTGAGGACCACCCAAAGATCAGTTTTAATTCACATTTTATGTCCATCAAAATATTAGTCAATCAAATGATGAACTGTGAGTAAACCGCAGCCCCATTAGTTTAATTATTCCACCTCTCAGGTTACTTGGATAAGCCATAAAAGACAGCCAAGTTCTAAAATGAATATGGCGGAATGAAACAACAGTGAGCTGTGCCCATTTCAATAATGTTTGCTTGAAAACAGGCATTAGGCTGAGAGCACAAGAAATATTCGCTCATTATACTAAAACCAAACAGGGGACTTTGGTGAGCAGTTGCCACATCTAGCATTATTTATTCATTCAATTTCTATTCCGCTCTCCCCCACGATCATGGGGTTCAGAGCGGATTACAGCATAAATAGGCAATTAAAAACAATTAAAATCTGTACATACATATCAAGCACTTAATCAGATGGCGTATACAGTATCACTGTTCCTGGGGAGAGAGGGGAGGGGAAGAAGCAGAGGGCAGTATATAATAGACTCTCTAATCTTATCCATAAGCCTGGCAATACAGGTCTGTTTTAAAGGCCCTGCAGGATCGAGCTAAGTCCCGCAGGGCCCGGATCTCATTCGGAAGTGCATTCCATAGCGGTATTCACTCTGCAACACATGGGGTGCGTTCAGACAGGGCATTTGCAATGGTATTGGTGGCGGTTGGAATCGGTGTACTTACCAGCGTTCACACGGCGAACATCTGCCTTCCGTCCCTAACCGTTGCAAAGAGCTTTAAACCATTGTATTCTGCCACTAGGTCCCCAAGTGGTGGTATCCTGAGTGCAACGGTTGTAATCGCTTTACCCCCCCCCCCCCCGTCTGATTGCTCTCCAACGTTGTAGAGCCACTTCCGTTCGGAAGCCCGAGGCTTCCGATTTTCGCCCACCATTTTTTTTTAGGTCAGCGATATGCACTTGAGCGAAGCTTCGCCCCGGCATTTGTTTAAAAAAAGAAAAGGTCCTTAGTTTATCTTTTAGAGGAGTCCGGGACCTCAGGAAGGCCACTTTGCTCTTTAAACTTTAAATGTAAGACGGGGTGTTTTGCGCATGTGTGAAGATCGCCATTCTGTGGATGGCTGCCCATGCGCAAACTAAGTTTAAAAAAAACAACAAACCGCCGACGCCCGGTGTGTGTGAACAGGCATACAGCGATGGGCTCCGCAGACAGGAGGTAAGTGTGATCGCGTTTCAGCCGGCATAAACTGCACCGGTTCCAACCGGTACAGTTTATGCCGGCTGTAACGCCCCGTCTCAACGCACCCATGGAGAGCAACATTTGCAATCACCATCAACCAAAGCCACATGACTAATGTAAGTCCTGGGAGGCACGTTATTAACACATACATACAATAAGGTAAGTATTCATAGCAAGTAAGCAACTATATATTTTAATTACCAGAGTATATCTGAGCATTTAGAACTGGCTCTACCCACCACTGAACCTTCACCTCTGTGTATCTGGAGTCAGGGCAAAAGGCTTCACTCTCTGCCTTCCCACCCTCTCTTCAGCATGAGGCACAGCAGGGAAGAGTGAGGTTGCCAAGACAGGCAGGGAGAAAGGAGAGAAGACCACCATCACCACCACACTGTGGCTAGCTTGGTCTTTCCTGGGTGGTTGTCATGGAGGTGGGTTTTACTCTCTCTCTTCTCTGCGGTCAGCTTGCTTCTTCCCCAGCAGCTGCCCAAGCACTGTGATAAGATCGTAGAAGCTTCAGAGAAACGGGGAGGGTGTTGGAGAGGATGGCACATCCATGGCACAAGACCAGCAGTCCTAAGAGGCTCACAGTTTACCACAAGTTCTGCTGCTAGAAACCCTTTTTAAACAATAATTAATGCTTGGTGGCATGTGGGTCCGCTATAATCTAATTAGTTATCTTATTAAGTTCCCCACTCCCCTGCCCCACCACCCAAACATTTCAGGCTATGGGCCTAATGAGATGCCTTCACACCAGTAATTTCAAGCATAACTACCAGCCCAGAGATGGTCAAATCATCCAAACAAAGACTCTCCAGCAGCTATGGAAACTACATATGACATCACATTCTGCAGGAACACAACACAAACATTTACAGCTCCACAAGAAAAACAACACACAAAATTATTACAAACGTACAAAGTGGAAAGCAAAAGACTCAGCGCTCTGATTGCATGCAATACACATTACAAACCAACTCCATCACCATGTGAAAGAGAACTGCACATGGTTAAGTAAGTCCAACATCTAGATCGGACCTGATAATTCTGTTAAATGGTACACATTTGTACCAAAAATAAATGCTACTGAAAGCATCATTGTATTGTTTGCAACAAGCTGCATAACCTTTCTTAGCATAAGTGGCAGATGTCCTAAGAAGTGCCCATCAAAAGTGGTCAAAAATCAGGTTACTATAAAATTAATGTATTAGGTAAAGGTAAAGGTTCCCTTGCTCGAAAGCCAGTCAAATCCGACTCTAGGGTTGTGGTGCTCATCTCCGTTTCAAAGCCGAAGAGCCAGCGCTGTCCAAAGACATTTCAGTGGTCATGTGGCCCACATTACTGAACACCAAGGCGCACGGAATGCTGCTACCTTCCCACTGAAGTGGTACCTATTTATCTACTTGAATTTTCTTGCTTTCGAACTGCTAGGTTGGCAGGAGCTGGAACTAGAGACGGGAGCTCACTCCGTCATGCGGAACACTCGGGTCTCGAACCGCTGAACTACCGACCTTCCACAGCCTGCAGTTCAGCGTCTTAACCACTTGAGCCACCGTAGCTATAAAAATTAATGTATTAAAAATGTATAATTTTAGCCAGCCAAACAAAGTACAGGTAAATAGGATCGAAGTTCACCTATGTTTTTCTGTAAAATGCATAGAAATTAAACCATTTTACAAAACAAATTATAATGTACATCAACTGCTCCCCCCCCACATTGATTGTAATTACCTGCGGAGCAATCCTATTAACAATTTCTGAAATTTCAACTGTAGATCGACCAGCTGTCTGCTTCTTTCTTCCACCGTCTGAAAGAGAAAAGGCTTTCTAGGAATTCACAAACACAAGAGGGGCATTTCCCAATCCCACAAAATGGATAAGCACAGTATTTAGTTTAACAGAATTCCTAGTCTTAGGGAGCAGTCCTAAGTGGGTCTGCTCAGAAATAAGTCTCATAGGGCTTACTTCCAAGAAAGTGCCCTTAGGGTTGCAGCCCTAAAGTGATGAAAATTTAAACCTTCGACTACAAAAAGCAGCACTTAAAATAAACACACCTTTCCCATAAGTTTCCAAATAATTGCTTCTTGAAAGGCAAACTTTAAATTAGAGGATATATGTATCAAGTTACCTAATTTATATGCAACTGGCGACTGAGGATCCCAGAAGATCTCTTGTGGTATGTCAGTTTCATTAGCAGGAGAACTGAATGTTGGCAGGCAGGCCCTAGAAGATCTCTTTGGAGTCTTGTATGAACATATTTCTGTAAATAAGATTTAAAAGATTTTGTTTTCAAAAATGTAAACAAGGGTGTTTAACCACAGACAATAATCTAGCTGTAGGAGCTGATCTTAGGTTTATTGATAATTGTTCCATAGGTGTGCTTAGTATAACACATGGTGGGAGTGATGGTATACACATTCTCCTTCCTTATACATAAAAGCCATTTGGGGTGGCAATGTTCTATGCACGCCAAAATCAGTTGGCCACATAGACTGCCACTCACAAACGGGTCCCTGGCCACTGGCTGACATGCCTTGCTGTGTCGGCTCAATCCCGCCCACAAATCCACAGGCCAGCCTCTCACCCTGTTTGCAGGGAGCCGCCGGACGCGATGGCTGCTCCAGCGGGTGGACGTTTAGGAGACTGAGCCCATTCCGGCCACCACCGCGGTAGTCATCCCCCCCCCGGCCGACTGCAGGTGTCCGCCAGTGGCAGGCTGTTCCCTTGACCCCGGGGTCTGGTGAGGGGGGAGAAAGAGCGCAATCGGCCTCACTGTGCTTGGAGGCAATGGCTGGCCTGGCCTGTTTAGCTCCTGCTGCGGCCGTCATGCACTGCCGAGCCCCGAGGCACGTTGGCGGCCAGCCTGCGAGCAGACTGGGGCTGGTGCACCACTGGGGCAAGGAGCCATGGAGGCGGCCCGGAGGCCGGCGGACGCAGCAAGGCCCCGGGGTCTGTGGAGGGGAGAAAGAGAGGGGACCAGGCCTCACTTTCCTCCAACACGACAGGTGCCCTGGCCCCTTTATCGGCCACGGGGTCGTCGGGCTGAGGCCGGTCCTGCCCCTGACGCCACGGCCATGGTTGCCTGCCAACCCACGCCGGCGCCCAGCCTGCACGCGGATGTGGGCTGGTGTGCCGCCAGGGTGTAGAGCCGCCGAGGCAGCCCAGAGGCTGCTGGCTGCAGCTGGACAAGAAGCCAATCACCACCCAGCGACCCCGGGGTCTGCGGAGGGAGGAGAACGCGTGGGACAGGGCAACCTATCTTTCTAGCGCCCGTTGTATTGTCCCTGCAATGGGCTTTGCTCCTAGTTTAAAATAAACATGAGAAAAGCCACACGGAATATGTGCCCACCTGATGAAATTCAACATGGGAAATTATTTTAATTGGAAGTTATATTGGGTTGGAGCCAAAGGTACTGCATTAGGAGCAATTCTGTCAAAATGATTGCCCCCTTTCTTCTGCAGCCCCCCGCAGAACTGCCCTCCTCAAATCCTTCAAGAATCGTAGGGCATTTAGAATGGGGTGGGGATTGCTGCAGCATGAAAGAAGGCCTCAGCAGCACTCACTGAGTCTGTAAAAGAAGAGGAAATTCTACCAGGTTCCCCTTCTTGCCACAGTCTCCCCATCCCTTAGCAGCAACATTTCCAGGAAGGGAGAAGGCACAGCAGTAGGGTTGCCAAGTCCGGTGTGGAAGTGATGTGACGACGCCGGGCACACTGGGGGCAGGGCAACGACCATCCGAGGGAAAATCATAGAGTTTTCCCTTGGATGACTGTGGCCCCGCCCCCAGCATGCCCAGCGTGGTCGCATCACTTCCGGGTGACGCACATGTCGGGGTGGGGCTCCCCCCGGGGCCCAATCCGCCGCCGCCGAGAAACGGGCCTCTGGGGCGGGGGGTTCCCCGCCCCCCCGGGGGGACTTGGCAAGCCCACACCACAGCGAGCTGTAAAAGGGGAAGACATTAAAAAGTGTAGCTCACAGGACTACCAGATCCAACTTGCTGGCTTCATTTATAACTCTAGTTGTTATAACATTATAGCTCTGATCATTTTATGGCACAAGGCAGAATTGCGAAGACACACTTTGGAGCACTTAGGATCTGAACTGCAGCAGAAGTTTCAAACACGAGTCTTCCTTTCAGGATCTTGCGCTGGAAGATAGGAACTATCCCGTTTGCAACAGAGCATCCTGAGAGATGCTCTCCTGCTGCTTTCTGCATATTGCCACTGGGTTTTTTTTCTTTTGTATGGGGATTGGCATGCTTGTCTTATGTAGAGAGGAGAAGGGTACTGCTGACACAAAACAACACATATCACACTGGAGGATGAGCTCAGATGGTGTGGCTGATGTTGTTACACCCAGTAATAGCTCGGCCAGAGTGGGTAAGGGGTTCCCTCAGTTGTTACAGGTATCAATATGCTTAGGAAAACTAGGGCAATTACATAATTGCCAATTCCTGCTATTGTGAATAGTATCTCTTGGCACTTCTTCATTGCACCATTATCCTTTGCCCTTTGTAAGTTGTTTGAGCTACCTAGGTGCTACCAAAGGAAGACATACAGCTTAGACTGCAAATGAATTCCTCTGGGGGAATAAGATACTAGGTAAAGGTAAAAGTTCCCTTGCTCGAAAGCCAATCGAATCTGACTCTAGGGTTGCGGTGCTCCGTTTCAAAGCCGAAGAGCCAGCACTGTCTGATGACATTTCCGTGGTCATGTGGCCGGCATGACTAAACACCAAGGCGCACGGAACGCTGTTACCTTCCCACCGAAGTGGTACCTATTTATCTACTTGCAATTTCTTGCTTTCGAACCGCTAGGTTGGCAGGAGCTGGAACTAGAGACGGGAGCTCACTCCATCATGCGGCACACTCGGGTCTCGAACTGCTGAACTACTGACCTTCCACATCCTGCAGTTCAGCGTCTTAACCACTTGAGCCACCGCAGCTCCTAATAATACAGGGTACCTAAAACATAACTAGCCTGTCAGCACATATCTAGCCCTGTACAGGCCACCCAAGGAACCAATCTGTGGTATTAAAGTTCAGATGACAATAGTACCACCAGTCAAACAAACACCACACAGCAGCTTCCTAGTAAGATACAGGAACACGTGAAATTGCCTTATATTGAATCAGACCATAAAAGGCTGAAGACAATGGAAAGGATAAGCTGGTGACTTCATCATAATATTAGGCATGGTTGGGAATGGGAAATATACCATGCTCAGGGGGACCAAATGTTATACTCTCTCAAATGTGGTCTAAAATAACCGATTAATTCAGTAGCTACAGCCACCTCAATTTGCCTAAATGCTGCATAATTAAGAAAACGGTTATCATTTGGGAAGGAGTGGGCTGGAGTTCACAAAACCTATGGTGGAATAAAATTAGTGGTCTTTAAGGTACCCCAAGAAGGCTCCTCTATGCTCCCGCTCATAAAAAGGTATGTGTTGGATGAGATCTACGTTTGCAGCAACAAAACCAAAACACAGATGCTGAAGAGCATTGTGCAGGCTGATTGCAGATAAGAACTCTTCTTTGGAAAGAGCAAATCCTGCAGCATCGTATGGATCAGCAGAATTCCGTTAGGAGTCCATTTCTAGCCGGGGTGGGGGTGGGGTAGAAGAATACCATACTGAAGGGCAAAACTTTGGGATGCTAATTCCTTCGGTACAGCGGGTTGGAGGCGGAGCAAAGAAAATCCAACGGATTCCTTTACTAAGATTGCAATATTCAGCGCGCCGCTATTTGCAAACAAACCCCTCATGCAACTGATTTCCGAGTACAAAACGTTCAACGCATCGCGGTGCAAACAAGCCTTTTGGGACACAGGTGGGCGAGGGAGAAACGACCCCTCACCCTCCACTTTGCCTTTGGGGCTCTCTCCGTCTTGAGCCTTCCGCCTACTACTCCTTCTCGTAGGACTCTGCAGCCGGAGCTTCTCATCAGCCGCCGCTGCAGCTTTCCGCCGCTTATTCGCCATATACGATTCCTCCCGGAGCTCATCGCTCTACGCTCAGCCCGCTCACTACGCCGCCATCTTGCTCAACCTTGCTAATTAGCCACCGATTGGCCACAGCTGGCCCTTCACGAGCTCTGATTGGTCGCTTTAAGGAAAGCAACCGTGCGCCCCCGCGAGGAGGGGGAGGAGCCTCGGCGGTAGCAGTTTTGCAAGTTTGGGGGCGGGGGGATGCTTTGTAGGTTCCTGCAGGCAGACTGCGGATCAGTAGGAAAGGATGGGTGCTTGTTGTAGGAGTGGAGGGGGTGGGCTGGGTGGCGACTACGGTAAATTCAGTTGCAAATTCTCTCCCCACTCAGCGATTTTTGTAATTAGCATTTTAAAAGATTTTTTTCCAAATAATACCAACACTACAAACAGCGATTAGACAATTAAATTAACATAGAGAATGAAAGGAACGGAACATTCAGCATAATGAATGAGCTAGTATGAACTTGCAAGGACAGTAGGAAGAATAATTCAGACAAATACTTTAAATCATGCAGTGGGTTGTGACTCGTATAGTCTGGAATTATTGAACTGTACTTCTGTGCTGTGTCAGTGCAGTATGCAAGCTATGGGGATTGTGGAAGTGAATGTGTAAGGCAGGGGTCATCTTGTTAATTGTAAAGCAGCTCTAGGTACACTCGGTTGGGGGCTGGATTTCAGTTGCTGTGGCATATTCTAGGAATGGGAACAACTTATCCAAGAAGTTAATTTTGGATGGAGGTATGATTGCTGAAGGTGGTCTGTGATCTTCTCTAGGATGAAGTAGTCCCCCAGCCCTTTGTAAAAGAACACTCCCACTCAGGTATGAAATTTCCTTGAGTGCCTTTGGGCCTGGAACTCTCTCTCCACCTAACCTACCTCACAAGGTTGTAGAACAAAATTTGAGTCCAGTGGTACCTTTAAGACCAACCGTTCTATTCATGGTATCAGCTTTCATGTGTACGTACACTTCCTCAGATGTTGGCCTTAAGGGTGCCACTGGACTCCAACTTTGTTCTGCTGCTTCAGGCCAACATGGCTACCCCACCGGAATCTATCTCTGCAGGGTTGTTCTGGGTGTAAAGTGGAGAACTGCAGAACAGTATACACCACCCTGATCTCCTTAGAGGAAAAGTGAAATAGCAATGTGTTAAAATTAAAAAATGCTAATAAATTGACATAGTACTTGATGACCACTGGTTTCTATGGTTTTGAAAAGGGGGGCTAAGCAAATTTGTCAAAGTGTAGTATGACAAAGGCTTATTAGCAACAATGGCTTAGCGGAACCTCCATGTCCAGAGGCAACATACTTTTGAAAAACTGGAGCAGGGGCCAATCAGATTTTTTTTGTCCAGGGGTGGGTTAGGCTGCAGCTCCATCATTATTTCTAAAATTACAAATGTTTTTTTTCTTTCATGGCTTATGAGATGGAAGGGGGTAGATTACAGGTTTGTACCTGGTGCAGAAAAAATTGTGTTGTGTTTCCTGAGAGGGTAAACTGCAGAGAGGCTATTGCCTCTGTCTGCAGGTACATCAAAATTGAAACCAGAAGATCAACAAGGAGCCAATACTTGTAATTAACAAGTATGTAATTAATACATACAACAAGTATGTAATTAATTAATAGGAAACAGAGAGTGAGTATAAATGGGCAATTTTCTCAGTGGAGGGTGATAAGCAGTGGGGTACCGCAGGGATCAGTACTCGGTCCGACGCTTTTTAACTTGTTTATTAATGATTTGGAGTTGGGAGTAAGCAGTGAAGTGGCTAAATTTGCAGATGACACTAAGTTGTTCAGGGTGGTAAGAACCAGGGAGGATTGTGAGGCACTCCAAAGGGGTCTGTCGAGGATGGGCGAGTGGGCGTCAATGTGGCAAATGGGGTTCAATGTGGCCTAGTGCAAAGTGGTGCACATTGGAGCCAAAAATCCTAACTATAAATACACATTGATGGGGTCTGAACTGGCAGAGACTGACCAAGAGAGAGATCTTGGAGTCGTAGTAGATAACTCAATGAAAGTGTCTATACAGTGTGCAACTGCAATAAAAAAGGCCATCACTATGCTGGGGATTATTAGGAAGGGAATTGAAAACAAATCAGCCAGTATCATAATGCTCCTGTATAAATCAATGGTGCGACCCCATTTGGAGTATTGTGTACAATTCTGGTCACCACACCTGAAAAAGGATATTATAGCTTTGGGAAAAGTGCAGAAAAAGGCAACTAGGATGATAAAAGGGTTGGAACACTTTCCCTATGAAGAAAGGTTAAAACGCTTGGGGCTCTTTAGCTTGGAGAAATGACGGCAGAGAGGTGACTTGATTGGTTGATAAGATTATGCATGGGATAGAGCAGGTTGAGAAAGAAGTTTGTCTCCCTTTCTCACAATACAAGAACTCATGGGCACTCAATGAAATTGCTGAGCAGTTGGTTTAGAACAGATAAAAGAAAGTACTTCTTCACCCAAAGAGTGATTAACAGATAGAATTCACTGCCACAGAAGGTAGTGGCGGCTACAAGCATGGGCAGCTTCAAGGGGGAATTAGATAAGCATATGGAGCAGAAATCCATCAGAACAAGAACTCTCCTAAAGTTAGTGATAATCTATTAACAATAAAAGACAAAAACAAAAAATAACAGTTGGACAAACTTCTACGTTAAAAGTAAATCATCACAAAAACCTGAATATTGACTTGTTTGTCTAAATCTAAATTTTATTCTTACTAAATATTTAAATCATCACCTTTAATATGATATTCAGATAATTCCAAAACTCAAAAAAAATTAGCTATTCCCATGATATGAGTTTGCCATTTCTGCTGAAATTCTTTCAATGGTCTTTTGTTTATGTAATTATTTAGTTTTGCCAATGTTGCATACTCAGCTAGTTTTCCTTTCCAGATATCTATTGTAGGACAGTCTTCTGTCTTCTTTGTCATTGCAAATATTACTCTGGCAGCTGTCAATATATATCTAAATAGATCTTGTGAGGTTCTATCTATATTGCCTGGAAGGATTCCCAGTAAGACCTTTCTGTTTTTTTTGTCAGTGTTGTGGCAGTTCCAGTGATTGCAGTATCAGTATGAGCAATACACACTTAACATGTTTTCTTCATTTTTCCCCGTCAGTGTTCCATTTGTTCACATTCACATTGTGGATTGGTTTTCCATTTTGTTTGTTTGTTTTTGTGCATGCACTGAAGCACTGCAGCACTTCAGCCTCAAGGAGCTGAGAAATCCCCTTATGAGTACAGGAAATTACCCCTGGCATTGAGCAAATGAGTGTGGTTCATAGACTGATCAGATGCAAAGGAAGAAGGGACTCATGTGCCTTTAATTAATGTGTGAGATGGGAAATTTTTAGGGAATCCAACCTTTTCTTCATTACTACATGACAAGTTACATCTGCTGAAGTTCTTTTAAAACAATGTCTCTTGGATTTGGTATGCTATACCTGGTCATCTGAAATTCATTTACACTCACAGCAGAACCACAGCTGGAGTGGTTTTCCTCACTATGATGGACTGCAATCCTAAGAAAGCTTTCCTGGGTGTAAACTACATAGAGTAGACTTGAGTGGGATTTGGAGTAGCCCTGCTAAGGATCGCACACTCAGTCCTGATTTAAGCATGTCACAGAGTAGGGAAGAAATTATCCAAACAGCATTATGCATACCTCACACCTGAGTTGTTTCACCTGGGCATGCATTGCTAATTCACCAGGAATTTATAATCTAGGCTTGTGCCACTCTGGTATTTATTAATTCCTTTAGATATTCATACCCCACTTTTCTCTCCAATGGGGACCTAAAGCATCTTACAACATCGTTGTCTCTTCTTCCATTTTATCCTCACAACAACCCTATGAGGTAGATTAGGGCTGAGAGAGAGACTAGCTCAAAGCCACCCAGTGAGCTTCTGTAGCATAGTGGGGATTAAAGCCCAGGTCTCCCAGATCCTAGTTCAGCATGCTGGTCACTGCACCACAGTGGCTGTTTTATTTCTGGACAAATGGTGACTTGACAAATGTCAAGTAATAGCTAAGAAAACCACTAGATCAGCACAACACCTACTGGTGGAATTGGCCCACAATGTGGCTGTTTGGAGATCCAGGCATGGAGACGTGTCCCTGGATATCTAGGGCTGCATCCAACTGATCCATTATTGCCTGCTTGGTACCCTTCAAGCCTGTAGCCAGGATTTTATAAGTCAGGGGGCCTTTAAATAAGTCAGGGGGCACTGACATCACAAAATAAAATAAATTTTTTAAAAACCCTCACTTTTGCAGGGTTCACACACTGGTGGAATTGGCCCACACGATGTGGCTGTTAGGAGATCCATAGAGACCTGTCCCTGGATATCTAGTGCTGCATCCAACTGATCCATTGTTGCCTGCTTGGCACCCTTCAACCCTGTAGCCAGGATTTTATAATTCAGGGGGCCTTTAAATAAGTCAGGGGGCACTGACGTCACAAAACCCTTCCTTTTGGTCTCCTTGCTTCTGTGTCCTTACATCCCAGGAATTCGTATCAATCCTCAACCTGCCCCAGTGTGAGATATGAAATCCTAGTAAGACACAGGGAGGGGAAAACAAACTTGACCCAAAAACTGGAATCAAGAACCACAAGGGTAAGAAAGAAACCTGGAAAAAGGGCCAGTATTAAAAACCTAGTGTAAGCTTATTATATAAAAATACATGTATTTATTAGAAAGACAGTTAAAAACTAATAAGGGTCCAATGAAAGCCTCGTTACAAAGTGCAATTGGCCTGAACACAAGGGCCAGTACAAGTGACCTGAGAAGTTTCCACCCTTTGGGGGGTCTTCTTCAGAGGTCAAACAGTTTGCGGTACACATAGACACATTACAATGTTACATATCGCAATGAAATAACCAATAAGTTAATACTGGACCGAAAAAGGAAAGCTGTAGAAGAAACAAAACTGAATATTTATAGTCATTTTTTTAACTTACAGTGTAGTAAAAATGGCTATATTACTTAAGCAGCAAGATTAATAGACACAAACCAAGGATGTTTATGAGGCCTCTAAAGATGAGAGTCAAGTGTCTAGTGCCAAATGCACAGCTGTTGAATAAGAACATCTAAACAATCAAATGTATTTTAGAAGCTAGTACAGTATGGTAAATAAAAGCCAGGAGAATAGCTGAATCTTTTACATTATTGATTTTTTTTTCCATTTCAGCTATTATACTGGCTTTTATTTACTGTACTAACTTTTAAAATATATCTCTACCATGATCACAATGTAATACAGATTTCCCAAGATGTTAACGGTAGGATTTAGCGCCTCATGTAATCCACCTAGCATCAGAGGTTGTTTTCTTTAGAGTCTTTTAAAGGGATCTTATATCCTGCTTTACAGAAGGGTGTTTCCTTGTGAAAGCGTTTGGTCTGGTTCACGTTGTACTGTACCGACAATTTCTGCAGGGCATAGCAACCAGCTGAGCGGTAAGATCACAAGAAGAGGAAATGCCCTGTTCAGGCCCTGCAGTGCATTTATCTCATCTGAAGAAGAAGAGAGTCCCCTAATGGTGATTTGAAAGACAGTAAGCAGATGTCCCAGCAGATGTCCTTTGAGAGTTTGCTTTTGACTGACAGTGAGGACCCTCAGGGGAACTGAAAGAGGGGAGGCAAAAATATGTTATTTGTCCCACCACTTTCCCAAAGCACCTTAATCATAAACCACCACATTTTGATAAATGGAGTACGTGTTCTAGAGCTCGGGCGGTGTGCTCCCTCCCAAGGACCCTACATACTTATTGTAAGCATCTAATGATGCCTAAATATCAAATCCTATTTTCTAAAGTAAGATCAAATGTGTTGCCATTATGGGAATTTTGGGGTAGGTTTGTAGGGATTCCATTTTCCAAGCGGCTTTGTGATTGTAAATCTGGGAAATTAGATACTAATTGGCCTTTTTAAGTTGACTAATAAATACAGTATTGCCTGAGACAAATGGGTTATAGTTTACATTCAAAAATGGACTTCAGCTTCAGAGCTGGAGATCATATCTAAGTTGTTTGCTGACATCGACCCTCATGTGAGTCTTGCAGTGGTAAAAATTTTGTCTAAGGGGTTTAATAATTATATAATATGATGTAAATACTGTTTTTGTAATTAGGCATTTTGTATCTTTCTCTTTGATTATGACCAATTGGTCTGTGAATGTTAATAAATGGAATGGAACATAAACCCCTCTTTCCCAGCAGAAACTCATTAGGATTGGCTACATTAGGGGTGTGTGGCCTAACATGCAAAGGAGTTCCTGCTACAAAAAAGCCTTGGGTTTTGACAACAAACAAGGTAAACAGAATAACAAGCAAAAGGTGAGTGTGGCTGGATAACCACACTTCTGGTAACATGGGGGTGCGGCCTAATGTGCTAATGAGCTGTGCTGTCGGGGGTGTGGCCCAATATGCTAATGAGTTTCTGTTGTTGGGTGTGGCCTATTATGCTAATGAGTTCCTGCTGGGCTTTTTCTACAAAAAGAGCCCTGCACACACCCATGACACAACACCCCACTCAAACAAATACACACCCCTTACACACAAACACACCTGCACATCAATGCTCCCTCTAAGCTTTGGAATCTCATGAGCAAAAGTTCTCCTTTGGGAGCTACCGGCATTAAAATTGTGAGCAAGAGATTTGGCTGCTGCATAAGTTAGTTTGCTCTGGAGCCCTCTTTCCTGAGCTAAGACAAAAATGTGTGAGCTGGAGGCTGAAAAACTGTGAGCTGGCTCACACTAACTCAGCTTAGAGGGAACTCTGCTGCACATCAATCCTCCTCTCAACCCACTTCTTCCTTTCCCTCCCCTCCCCTCTTCCTTCCTTCCTTCCCCTCCCGTTTGACCAGTGGGCCTTCACATAAGAACATAAGAGCCCTGGTGGATCAGACCAGCAGTGCACCTAGTCAAACATCCGCATCAGATGTCCCAGCAGGCCCACAGCGGGTGTCCAGGAGCTGAAGCCACACCCTGCTGAAGCTCCCAGTGGTTGGTATTCAGAGGTATACTATTTCCAAGCAAGGAGGTTCTTTGCAGATGTTGTAGCTAATAGCTATTGAAGGACCTATGCCACATGAATTTAATTTCTAAGCCGTTTAAGCTGATAGACATCATCAAACACTACAGGATATATGTCAGATGAAATACATTCTTTTGTCTGTCCCAAATCTACTGCCATCAATTTTGTTGGGTAGCGCCCCCCCCCCCCCCCGTTCTAATGTTTTGTGAGGGGGGGAAGCAACAAACTCAACACTCTTTAGTCTTTCCTCTTAGGAAAAGTCTTTTGACCCCCCTTAATTATTTTGGTTGAATTTTCTGTACTTTTCCCAGCTTTGCAGTAGATCTATACAAGGCTGTTCTAGTGCGGACTTTTTACTTTCAATCTCTTTCCTAACAATCCCTTGTATAGAATTAGTCTTTCTTCAGTATTGCCACACACTGAGTCTGCATTCTCACTGTGCTGTCCACCATGACCCCAAGATCTTTTCCCTGATCAGTTACTGCTTCCACCAGCATGTAACTAAAGCTAGGATTTCTTGATCCCGTTTATACTCACACCGAATCTGATTTACCATTTTTGTTGCCTTCTTGTGGCCCCTCACAATCCGCTTTGATATTACCGTCCTCAATAATTTGGTGTCATCTGCAAACTTGTCCACTTTGCTGCTCATCCCTAATGCCAGTCAGATCATTTGCAAACAAACTAAATAACACAGGTCCTAATAGATCCAAGAAAGAACCACAGTTCCATTTATTTCTACCTTCAGCCAGTTATGACTCATAAAAGGGACTGTTCTTTTCTCCCATGACTGTTAGGTTTACGCAGAAGCCTTTGGCAAGGAAATTTCTGAAAAGCAGTCCAAAATCTTTTTCGAAGGTAGAACATATATTATCTACTGGCTCACTTTTATCCACATGCTTGTTAACATACCTGAAGTATCCTAATGGTTGATGAAGCTGGGCTTCTTTTGCAGAAGCCATGTTGATTCTCCTTCAACAGCGCTTGTCCCTCTGTATGCTCAATAATTCCATCTTTATATTATCAGTTTACCCAGAACAGATATCAGGTTAAATGGCTTGTAATTTAGCAGATTTATTACTTTTGAGTTCTATCTAACCCTGACCTAGGCTATCTCATCAGATCTTGGAAGCTAAGTAGGGTTCGCCCTGGCTATTATTTGGGTGGGAGACTTCTGAGGAATACCAGGTCTGTAATGTGGAGGCAGGCAATGGCAGACCACCTCTGAACATCTCTTGCTTTGAAAACCCTGCTGTGGGTCATCATAAATCAGCTGTAATCTGATGGCCGAAAAAGAGGCCATTTCATAGGGGGCAGACTTTAGCAACAAGTTGCATGTTATTGTTAGACCAAAAATTTCGTCACATTTTACTTTAAGAAGCCTCAAGTCGATGCTGTCTAAACCTTTTACTTATTCATTTTTAATCTATCAGCCTTTGCAGTAGGGTTGGGCAAGGGAGAGGTCTGTGATATCATGACAGAGCATATGTTTTACATGGCCGAAGGTTCCAGGTTCAATTCCTGGCATATCCAAATGAAGGTTGTCAGGGAGCCAGTGATGGGAAAGATCTTCCTTTGCCTTGCTAGTCAGACTAGTTAATATACCAAGCTAGAGGAACCAATGGTCTGGCTTGTATAAGGCAGTGATAGCCAGCAAGAAGGGTAAGACTTCATCAAGTGGTATCTCATCATCCTTGTGTTCACGACAGTATGTTGAATTCAGTGCAGCATTTCTGTGAATGCTAAGATTTCCCTCTGCAGAGTGTGATGTACTCCGCTCTCCCGTTGCAGCAGCCTGAATTGCCCCCCCCAAGTCCTGTTTCTGGGACATCCATAGCTATTGAGCAGGACTGGGGGGGGGGGCATTTCAGGCTGCCATGGGAGGGAGGAGCTAAGAAAGTTGTGCTGTGTGGGTGGAAGTTCTTGCACCCATGGAAACTTTTCACTAGATCTAAACCACTGATTGTAAACTTAAGGGTGAAATATTGAGGTTGATGTTATAAAGGATTTTCTTGCCATATAACGGAAGACATTACCAAAAGATTTCAAAGGTGAACTTCTCCAACATTGTGCACATTTAAAATACTGTAAACTTATTTCTGTGATGATTTGGCCACGCATCTGATGTTGGTGTGATAAACCTGATGTCTCCCATTAAGGTTCGTCTAAGCCCCAGAGGAACGGCAGAGATAAGGAACACAAACTAAGTTTGCAGGTAGGGTTGGGGGATCTGACTGTATTCTATTTGGGAAGTGGAGGAAGATGTAGAGTTTCTACCTTCTTTTCTCCCACAGTTGTTGAAGATATACATCTTTGAAGGTGGAGCTGGCAGTAACGGTTTTGGAGAACCCAAGAGCAGATGACTCACCCCATTCCATGGAATTTTCCATTCAGTCAGAGCTATCTAGTAGCAATCTTAGCACCCCTTGTTCCTACTGACAAACTTGAACAAATGTGTTGTTACTTATGAGTCTTTTGTCTTAATGGTGGGTGTTGTACCTGGATGAGGATTGAATAAGGAACATATATACACACACACAAAGAATGTATGAGGAATATTGCCAACAGAACTGCCTCAGCAGCATCACTGTGGGCAGTTCCATTCCCACCAGGTTCAAAAAGGACCGTTGATTATACGAGTTAAAAGCAAGGCCTTAGGGAACCTTTGGCATTATTAAAAGTGTATTCTTCTCCCCCCACCCACCCCCGATGAAAAGTATAGGGCTCAAAAATTCCACTTGGTTTTACATGTCTGCAGGTTGCCAGGACATTACGTTAGGTACATTCTGGGTCAACCCAGTGATTAACGGGATGGAAAAGATGGGCTTGTGCCAAGCATACCAAACCGATTAATTCACCCCAAAGACCTGTGGCCAAACCCAGCTCTCAAAACAGATAAAAAGCAGGGAACGTGCACATTTCCCGGAGGATCCCTTCACCTCAGTGGGCCAGGAATCTCGTCTCATCTTTTTGTCCTCTGTCCCTCTTTCTCTCTTGCTCCACTTCTTCATTGTGCTCAGAGGCAATGGCTCAAAAATCAGTGAGAGTCAGTAGGAATTTTAGCGCTTCTTCGGCTGGTATGCCGGGGAGCCGAACGAGCTATAGCACTGTTTCAGTATCCCGGGGAGGCAGTGCAGGCTTTGGACATGTCGGTGGTGGCTTTGGCAGCAGAAGCCTCCATGGCTTAGGAGCAAGTAAAAGAATTTCCATCGGTGGCTACCGTACTGCCAGATCTGGATATGGTTACGGGTTAGGTCATGGAGGAGTTGGGTACCGAATCGTCGGTGGTGGTGGGTATGGTGGCTACGGAGCAGGAGCTGGTGGCATCCATGAGGTCACCATCAACCCAAGCCTCCTGGCCCCTCTTAACTTGGAGATAGACCCAACCATCCAGAAGGTACGCAAGGAGGAGAAGGAGCAGATTAAGACCCTCAACAATAAATTTGCTTCCTTCATTGACAAGGTAAGATGCTTCCTCTTGCCATTCTAAAAAAAAATAAAAATCCGCTATTCTGATACCAATTCCTTGCACTACCTGTTCTAGTAACATAAGTCAGCTATAAATTCTGGACTTTTATTCCTTCTTTAACAGTCACTTTGCTATAAATATTTCACAGATAAAAGCTGGGATACAGTTGTGTACTGGCAGCATCTCTATTTTCATGCTATGGATCACAGAATGTCACATATTGCTGGAGGCAATATGTCACACCCATTTGCTCTGCAAGAACTGGGCCTCTGAAAAAAGGTGTTTTAGCAAGATGATCAATATAGTTTCCTTCCTTAAAAAATAATTTTTCATTGATTGTTTTTACAGTAGATCTAGCTGTACTACAGCTTATTTGAAACTTCATTGTCTGCAGCAACACTTACTGTTTGGATAGATGCTATGTAGGAAATGGAAGGGAAATGGTGAAGTGGCATCTTGTGCCAGTGTACATGCATTGAGAGGCACCAGAGCCACAAAATGTTTCTATCACTGGTCAAACATTTAGGTTCCAGGTACCCAGTGGTGGGAGCTGAGACCTGAAAAATGCCAGTGTATATGTGAGGATACTATCATTCAAAGTTGCCTGGAGAAAATGTCCTGATTCTTTAATAGAGACTTAATGTGTGGAAAATAATATAACTTGTTAAATAACATCCCATTAATCACTTGTTAAAGGGACAGGATATTTTCCCCTCAGGGCACTTGGCAATCCTAGCAACGTTTTAAAAAGACATATCCAGTGGCAAAAGAGGGACCATCTCTCCCTCTACGCTCTACCATGTCAGCTTTGCTCATCTGAACAGGGCCTTCTGTAGGTGCTAACCTGCAAATGGGCAAAATCAACAACTGCCCATACATGTGGCCTTCTATGTTGTGGCCCCCACCTTGTGGAATGGTCTGCCTGAGGAGGTCAGGAAGGGTCCGACTCCCCTGGCTTTCCACAAACTATGCAAAACTGAATTATTCAGGAGGGCTTTTCTACACAGATATCGGGGTAGCACTGTACAAAACTATTTACAACGTTTCTTGGGCCAATTATTAGAGACTGCAGTCTATACCACTGTGTATAGTTTGCTATAAGTTGGATCCTGCTATATAATTTTGCGTTGTTTAATGTGTCAAGTTAACAAAAATTGCTTCTGTGTTTTGAGACTTTGGTTCTACAACCCAAATTGTATTTCATTGTTTACTGAATGTCCCATCCTGTTGATTGTATGGACTCTGTGTAATCTACTTTGAGTCCCAGTAAGAAAGGTGCACCATAAATAACGTAAATAAATAAATAGTCCTAGTTTACTAGTGACTAGCACCCCAGAATATGGAGAGTCCCTCTCAATAGGTACAGATGGAGCACTTGCCTTCCATGATAGGATTTTAGCAATTAAATATGGGCCAGGGTCCAAAGAGCCACTTTTAGAACATCTATGGTTATTCCCAGGGGAATTCTTAATAGCAGACCGTCACACATTATCGCACTGGGAAGAGGGTGTGACTTAGTGGGATGGCACCTGCTTTCTGTGCAGAAAGTCCCTGTGATGGAAACACTGGCATCTCCAATCCAAAAATGACAGCAAAGGGGTGTAGTTGTCGGGAAAGTCCCCAGGGAACTGCTGGCAACTTGATGCAGCAGCTAGAAGGACCAATGGGTTTGACTTAATATAATGCAGCTTCATACATTCTGAAACTGCTTATGAAATTCCTTTTGCTCCCCCCAACCCCATGATAGCTTTGTCATCTGAAAACTATACATTGCAAATCTGTAGTCCTGCAGTTCTTTTAGATCCTGGCCCCAGACCCCTTGCAAAATTGTACACTCTTCGCTGTTGCAAGCTAACTAGTTTTTATAATGGAATACAAAGATGAAGTGTTGGGAGCTAGGGGTATTACTCTTTTCATAATTATTAGGCCAGGAAAGACTTCCATGTCTGATGGGACTCCTTTCCATAATTATTATTATTAGCTTTGTTTATAGAGCATCTTCCTCATTGAGACTTCAAAGAGATTTACAAAATACGAAAAGTAATTCTGTCAGACATCAAAGTCCTCCAGAAAACAGTGCAGTGGGACTAGGATTACAGAACTGGAAAACCAAGCAAACAGAATCCTGTCCAGGAGCATATAACATTTTACAAGGACCTTTGAATTACTTTCTTACAGGTGGGACCTGGGGATCCCTTGGAATTACACCCCATCTCCAGACTACAGGGATCAGTTCCTCTGGGGAAAATGGATGGTTTGGAGGGTGGACTCTATGGCATCGTACCCCACTGAGGTCCCTGTTCTCCCCAGGCTCCATCCCCAGATCTCCAGGAGTTTCCCAACCTTGATCTGGCAACCCTACGCCCCATCCCCTGTCAGTGTCCAGGGGGACCTGGCAACCCTACATGAAGAAAAATTGCAGAAGACATTAGGGTCTTTGAAGCAAGTTGACTGTAACCCTCAGAGCCTTGTATCCATGGTGATAGTAGATGCATTTAACTCAGCTAAAACATGTGCTGACAGTTACAGCTCTAGGTAACTGGGTTTTAGGTACATTCAGAGCACTGGAAGCAGAAATGTTCAACGTCTGTGCTCATGCACACACAAAATACATCCTCTGTCAGTAACAATCATATTTCTTTACCCACAATGAATTACGCAATTGCCAAATTATTGAGGTAAATTTTCTTCCTTTGTACAATAGTGATCATTTTTCTTTTTTGGAATGCCTTGTGAAAAAGACAATGGTTTCTCTCACACCAACTAGGAAGTTCACAAATGAGCAGAATAGTCTGTGTTATTAACCACTGTTCTTGCCTCATACAATGTTTGATCTTGGAGAGGAGTTCACATGAGGGAAAAGAAAAAAAGAAAGCTGTGAGGGTGAGAAGAAAGATGAAGATAATGAAGGAGAGAGGAACTTAACTGGAAGGGCTACCAAAAGCCACCACAGGGTTGAAATCGTACCATCCAGACCCAACCCAAATGTCTAAGGAAATCACATGATTTGCCCAGCTTCATGGATTCCCAGAGGGAAGAGGTCCCTTGGAATTTTATGGCCTCAACTCTTGTCACAACTGATGAATAGAGGTGGAGGCTGTGAGGGAGAGACACAGATATTCATGATACTGTAACTCCACTTTTTGACTAGAGCTGCTACCTGCACATATTTGTTACCTTAAAGGCTACTGACTTGCTTTTTTAAAAATGAAAGTTTTGACAGAAATGAGATCCAGTATTGGCTTATATGCAGATTTTCCCATGAATGTTACGAAAAAAAACTGACATGGTTAGATGTATGTGTCTAAAGATAACACATCCCAAATTCACTACCACAGCAGTTCCATTTGGCCACCAGTTCTAAAGGTCTTGCACATTCTCAATGATCTGATACTAACCACTAGTTTCAACTATGCAGATCAGGATCAGCCAGTTCCTATAAATTTTCCATGTAAAATCCTTGCAATCTATTTAAAATGGAGGAGGGTGTGGGAGGTATTATTAATATTTCTATAATTTTATGTGTTATTATTTATTAACAAGATTTTAACCTGACATTTCTTCTCTCAGAGGGCCACCAAGGCGACTAACAAATTAAAACATACAAATTAAAACCTCATCTTAAAAGCCATTAAAGCCAACACACAAGCCGGATCAACAGCCCCCGGCCGGAAAGGCCATAGGGCTGGGGAGGCATATTTGCCGCCCAGAAGAAGGAGACGGGCAGTCGTGTCGGGCCATAATTGGCCCGTTTGTATCCAAGGGGGAGGAGGGGTCAAGGAGATTTAAGCCGGCCCCCTTCCCTGGCTCGGCAGCAGTTCACCGAGTCGTCGACCCACCCTACCGCCCTGTTTTTAGTTCAGGCTTGGCTGGTCACCCATTTGGGGGCTGGGTAGGAATTTTTCACCCCCTCCTGATTGGCATGTGGAGGGGGTGTTTTTGCCTACCTTTTACTACAGCAGGGTGGGCCGTTAGGTTGGTCACTTTAGTTGGCAGGGTTATAGGCAGTATGTAGGTGGCGGTACGGTGAGCACCAGCCAACACCCATATTTTGGGTTGAAAGGGGTCTAGTGAGTACAGCCTTTGTGCCTAGCGGGGAAAGCAGACTGTCTGTGGGACCCCCCCGTTTGGTCCTCTCTTTGAACCTAGCGGCTCGGGAGTTTGGGCTATGGGGTCATCCTGTAATGGCTAACCGGCCGGGCGGGAGCCATCACGGATGGCTCCAGCCTGGGGTTGGGTGGCTCGCCCGATGTCAAAAGTTAAGGAAGGGGTCAGAGACCCCCGGGCCTTGATTATACCGCTGAACTGTTTGCCCTTGCCGTTGGTTACAGTTAAGATGTCATTTAATAAAGTGGCCCAATAGTTAAACCCAGCACTTGTGTCTGTCTCTTATTTCATCTTGGGTGGCAAATACACCATTAGGACAAGATAAAATCAGAGCTTAAAGAAACCACAAAAGATTAAAAAAAACAGTTAAAAACATTGAGGAGGAAGGAGGGATCACTGAGGGGATGCCAAGCAAAACAAAAAAAAAGTTTTCACCGGCTGGCAGAAGATGGCAACAGAAGGGGAGAGTTCCTGAGCTTTGGTGCCACGAGTGAGAAGGCCCTCTCCTCAGTTGCCACCTGCTAATCTTAGAATGCGGGGTACCCAAAGCAGGACCCATGAAGATGACCGCAGCGGTTGGGCAGGTTCATAAGGGAGTAGACAGTCCTTCATGTATGTTGGTCCCAACCATAAGGGTCAGCACCAGCACCTTGAATTATGCCTGCAAATGAATCAGAAGCCAGTGTAGATGCAACAAGCCTGGCGTGATATGATCCCTACCACCCACTCCAGTCAACATCCTGGCTGCAGCATTCTGCCCCAGTTGAAGTTTCCAAACACTTTTCAACGGTGGAAAGCTGCCTAGGGAAATGCAAACATTATTGGTAGCAAATGCCATAATATGCTTAATGCTGGTTGAATTTAGGTCCGTTTCCTGGAGCAACAGAACAAAGTGCTGGAGACCAAGTGGAGCCTCTTGCAAGAGCACAAAATGACCCGGTACAACCTTGAGTCCTTATTTGAGTCCTTCATCAATAGCCTTAGAAGGAAGCTGGAAGACGGTGGGGCAGAGAAGCTGCGGCTGGACTCAGAACTGAAGAACATGCAGGATGCTGTAGAGGACTTCAGGATCAGGTAAGCGTTTGTGAGTAGGGAATTAATTTACTCTATTTAAAATAGTCCTCTGCACCATTATAATATATAACCACAAAACTAAATACAGTTTAAGATTGAACTATAAAATGGATTGCAACGGCAGCAGTAGGCTATGCTCGCACCAACAAGAATGTGGATAAATTTTGTTGCAAAATTAAAGCAGCCAGGGAGGGGAAGCCAGTGTTGCCTCCCATCAAAAGTTGAGATGAACGGGAAGCATTTATCTTCATACTGAAGAAGAATAGGTGCCAAGCAGATGTGTCTGTGGAGGGTCCTGTATATCCTGGGTCCTGCCATTATAGGTCTAGCCTCTGTATAACCTGGCTCTAGCCTTTATAGGCAAGAAAACTCAGAGCAATACTTGAATTACAGGAGGTCCAGTCCCTTTATCTTTTTGACTGCCCCAATCTACTGCTTCTAGAAGACTAGTGAGACGACATGATTTGTTAAGGGCCCCCATACATTTCTGCCCATTTTCATCTAAAATGTGGATGCATGCCGGTGTCTTTTTTTTTGGGGGGGGGGGAAACTAAAATAGAGGTTGAAGTTGACAGGAGTTAACCCCTGTCCCTCCCCCATCCTACCTCTGCCAGTGGTCTTCTTCCAGCTCACCTCTGACAGCAGAATGAGCCAGACTGGGAGGGGGGATGTTTAAAATAATGGTGCACAGCAAACTAAAGGGAGGAGGAGCAGGGGTTCTCTCCCATCACCTACATACTTCATCCCTGTTTTGAAAAAGAGGATTCCCTATCATCTAGTCTAGTCTAGCCATGAATGGGTAGACACATATAAATGCACCTGGAACACACACACACACCCCACACAACAACAATTGTGTGTAATCCACCTTTCAATTTCCCCCCTTCTCCTCCCAAGCCAATTTCATTTGTCTTGTTATTTTATCTTTAAAAAACCCAGCTGAAAAGTACGCAGATGGAGAGTGATTTCAGCAAAGCACACTTTATTCGATCAGGAACAAGACGACTTTGGCCGGCTCGCAGGCCGGCTTATATCCCCCGAGAAACCGCCACCCAAAACACACCCCTACTTCCCTATAGGTTATTTACAGTGGCCGAGAGTCCCATAGGCTCTCAGCCAGGAACCTAGCCCCCTGATTGGAGTGGGCTAGGATCTGCATAGTCCATTGTCTCTTGGAGCGAAGCTCTGAGTTTGTCTCTGGACATGTCTGGACTGGATACATTACACCAGCAATTAAATATTGGTATATCAATGTAATATTATAACAATGTATATCGGATTCTCTGAATTCCCAGCTCTCATTTTTTTAAAAGTAAGTTTCTGGGCCTTTTTGTTGCAGAGATATAAGGGGAGAGGCATACCTCTGCAACAAAAAAAAGGTTACTTTTTTGAAACAGTGAAAGATGGGAACAAAGAGAACCACATTCATATGACAATAAGTAATTGCAGATTGAAAAACCAAGAGTGGCCCAGTGGTATCGCATCTGCTTTGTGTGTGGAAGGTCACAATTTCAATCCCCCGCATTTCCAGGTAAAAGGATTTGGTAGCAGGTGATGTGAAAGACCTCTGCCTAAGATCTTAGAAAGCTGCTGCCTGTCAGAGTAGACAATATTGACCTTGACAGACTCTGTATAAAGTAGCTTTCTGTGTTCCCCTGCTCATTTTGCTGTGGTTGTTAAAATCCGAGCCAACAGCACTAACAGTGAGAAGTTGCAGAGGAAAGATGGTTTCTCCAAACTGGGTTTCTGAGGACAAATTTGGGAATGTGTCTCAGGAAGAGGACCACTTTTATGTGGCCGTTTGTCTAGAGTACATCCATGTCTGACCATACACAGTAACTCCCCCTCGGTTTCCCTCAAGCAGTGGCATCCTCTTCTTGCTGGTTCTTACCTCCAAGGTCACTTCTTCACAAGCTACAGCTAAGGCAGGATCAGATACAAGGGCTTTCTTGCACCAGTGCAGTTATCACACATCACGGTGTTGCATCAGTACAGCAAAACACCTGGGGCTTTGCACTAGAAGCAGTAACTCAAGGCAGAGCAACTTACAGCTGCACAAGCCAGATGTTGGCAAGGATCTAGGGCATCCTATTCACCTACAGCAAAATGTGAGTTGACGGTAGAAGTCTGAGGCAGGGGATTTAACAAAAATTTCAGCATTACTCAAGGTGGGTGTCTAAATATTAAGCCAAATTATCCCAGTTGTTGTGATGGCCACAGGCACAGACAATTTTAAAAGGAGATTAAACAGATTCATGGAAGATAGGCCTATCAGTGGCTACTAGCCATGGGGACTAAAGGGAACCTCTGTATTCAGAGGTACTTAACCTCTGAATCCCAGAGCCAGGAGGCAACATCAGGTGAAGGCCTTGGCCTCTGTGCTCTGTTTTGGAACCTCCAGAGGAACTGGTTGACCACTATATGAGACAGGATGCTGGACTTGATGGACCACTGGTCTGATCCAACAGGGCTCTTCTGATGTTCCATTTAAAGAATCCCCCATTGAGTAAAATCCCAACTGGAGTTTTCTGTCCTATGACTTCAGATGCTCTGACATCACCAAGATGGCATTTATCATATTCTCCTCTGGGTGTGGCATTAATGAGCTCAACCTTCATTTCCATCCAGGGCTTCCAACAGAAGAAGAAAGTCACGAGGGAACCGTTAAAGATGTTATTTCACACAAGGGAGAAAATTACAGGAGCATTAAAGGCACCCACCTTTTCCTGAGCCTGGCAGGTGGCCCTTTTCCATTGCCTGGCTCCAGAGAACCTGGGCGAGTCATACATGCCTCCCCAATGAGAGAACTGTTTTTGCAGCATCTTTTGGCAGCGATTGAAAAGCTGAAAGGAAGGGGGTTTATGCTGGCCTCTCCTAAAAGTCAATAAAACTAGTCCAGGCATTTAACATAAGTATAACATAAGCCAAAATATCCTCTAGTTCTTATTGCTTTAAGAAGTTTTGTTGCTCAGATCTTACTTTGGTTGCAGCAGACTGTTGTAACGCCTTTGTTGTTTATAATTTATAATCTTGCAAGGAGCTCTGGTTTTCTTGAGTTGCCCATTCTTGCAGCCTTGACTTGTTTATTTTAAGGACAATGCTGAGTGACAGCTGGATGTGGGGCTTCGATTCAGGTAGCCTCCGTCCCTCCCAGGTGATCCTTCTTTTCACCTCAGGGGCCCTTCAGAAAAACTAATAATAACCGAAGTAAAACAATTAAAATGTTATTTTCAAAAGGGGAGGAGGCTACATTGTTTAGAGGGAATGATTAGTAGCTTTGCCTACTTTTCCTAAAATCCAGTTTGGGTTCGGGATGCCAGCCTCCAGGTGGGACCTTCGAATTCGCCGGAATTACAGTTCATCTCCAGACCACAGAGATACGTCTCCCTGGAGAAAGCGGATGCTTTTGAGGGTAGACTCTGTGGCACTGTACCCTACTGAGGTCCCTGTTCTCCCCGGGCTCCACTCCCAGATCTCCAGGAGTTTCCCAGCCTGGAGCTGGCAACCCTACCATCCCGCCGGTGCCCAGGGAGGACCTGGCAACTCTAGTTTGTGTTTTGTTGCTAGAATTACATTGCCAAATTCTGCGCCGTTTGGTGTTGTATTCGAAAAGACCGCTTAGTTGTGTCTCAGTTTTAAGCTGATCTTTTGACTTATATTTTATGCAATTTCTATTGGTTGTTACTTTATTTTATGCATTCTTATACATTTTATGTACTTTTTAGCCATTTTTATAATGTTGGCGTGTTTCTGCTGATTCACTGGCTTGATGCCATAATAAACTATCTATCTATCTATCTATCTATCTATCTATCTATCTATCTATCTATCTATCTATCTATCTATCTATCTATCATCATCTATCTATCATCTATCTATCATCTATCTATCATCTATCTATCATCTATCTATCATCTATCTATCTATCTATCTATCTATCATCTATCTATCTATCTATCTATCTATCTATCTATCTATCTATCTATCATTATCTATCTATCATTATCTATCTATCATTTGAAAAATGTATATTCCACTTTTCTATCCATCAGTGACACTCGGTGGTGTACAACAAAATATTATGCAATTATGAATATAAAATCGATAAGCAACATTATTGATAAGAATCTGCCTTAGTCAGGGCTAAATTCATGCTTAAAAGAGTCCCATATGGTTCCCGCTGTAGTTTTTTATTCTGGTCCAAACTCTAGCTAAAGCACCTAGACCCAGTGGGATAATATAATGTTTGGTACGATTTATTCATTGGGTCACACCTGGTTAGTATTTGGATGGGAGGTCACCAAGGAAGTCCGTGGTCACTATGCCGACCCACACATTGGCCAACCTCCTCTGCTAGTCTCTTGCCTTGAAAGCCCTAAGGGGTCACCATAAGTCAGCTGCAATTTGACAGCACTTTACACACACACACACACACACACACACACACACACATCTTAGACCTGACTCTGAGAACCAACATCCTCCAGCAATTCTTTCCAGTCAGACTTCTTTACATATTATTAACATGGTCAGCTAATTAGCTATTTTGCCCAGTATTCTCAAGTTAGAGGTTAGAGTGAAAAATAATGTAAAACTTGAACTTAATAGGCTGAAATATAATATCATTGCTTAAAAATTCACCAGCGAGAGATAAAGCTGAAGTTTGTCGGACGACTTTAGGCATCTCTCTCTCTCTCTCTCTCTCTCTCTCTCTCTCTCTAATGTGTCTCACAAGGTGGTTGTGAGTTAAATGGAAGAGGAAAGACTGATGCTTGCTCTCCTGAGTTCCTTGGAGAGAGGGTAGGATGAAAATGTACCAAATAAAATAAATAATCTTGCATGACCCCCCTTCCTTACTGCAGCCCTCAACGCTGCATGGCACAGTTGCCCACAAAGGCCCCCCATCCCAACCCACAGTAGAGGGCTCACAGGGCTACTGGAGGGAGCAGGGAAGATCCTCCTTCTCTTCTCTCTTCTTCTCCTCCTGTGGAGATCCAACTGTGTGACCTAGTTCAAAAGAGACTCATGTTGTAGGTGACAGATGGTTTGTTGGGGAAATGCAACAGAGAGATTCACCGTTTCTTATCCATTCTTGGGCTCACTTTCCAGGTTGCTAATGAGGTGCCCAATGTCCCTTTCCCTTCCAACAGGTATGAAGATGAAATCAACAAGCGTACAGCCGCAGAGAATGAGTTTGTGGTGCTCAAGAAGGTGAGTCCTTGTCCCCTTTTGGGGACAAGAAGGGCACTGTTTCTTAAAGAATTTGCATACATCAACCTTTACGCTCTAGTCACAGCTCTCCCATTGTGTCTGCCGTGACATTTTTCTGTAGGGTGCGGCCAGCCTGCCTACGGAACTGATAGGTGCACTTGTATTTCCTTTTGCTGCTTGATGATCATGAACCCGTACCCTCTTTTTTGGCCGTAAACTGAGATTTGCCAGAACTCAGAGAGCTGGGACAGAGGGATGATTAGAGTGTTGGACTTTATAGGGTGCAAGTCTAGTAGCACCTTAGAGACCATCAAGACTTTGTATAAGCTTCCGAAAGTCGAAGCTCCCTTCATCAGATACAAGTTGAAGTGGAGATCTCTGACTTGCATCTGATGAAGTGAGCTTAGACTCTCAAAGGCATTAATTCGTTCTTTATTATGACCGTTTCATCAATTGTATAAACAGTTTTGCAATCAAAAATCCAGAGTTTACAGGATACCAGATATTCTCGAAAGCTGATACCCCCAAAATCTTCTTGGTCTCTAGCAATGTTCCCTCTAAGCTATGGAGCCCTGTGAGCAAAAATTCTACTTTGTGAGCTACTGGCATTAAAGCTGTGAGCAGGAGCTTTGGCTACTGCATAAATTAGTTTGCTCTGGAGCCCTCCTTCCTGAGCTGAGACAAAAATGTGTGAGCCAGAGGCTAAAAAACTGTGAGCTAGCTCACACTAACTCGGCTTAGAGGGAACACTGGTCTTTAGGGTGCCACTGGACTTGAATTTAGCTGTTCTACTACAGACCGAGATGGCTCTGAAACGTGACGTTTAGTTTTTTCTTCACATTTTCCCTCATTAAATTCTACTTAACTATCAATCTTGCTCCCAGGTTTTACTTAAAAACAACAACACCTGTCTTTTAAAATGTCTGCAGTTCCTCGCACTTTTGTGCCCTTGATGCATTTGGATATGTATATGGTTCTTTGATCATCGCTAGTGAACAGGGTCAGAGTGATTCCCACCAACTGGGCAGTTGGGGGGGGGGGGAGAAAGAAAAGATAGCAGGCTCTACAGTTATACCTGATAATCAGTTGTTTTTATCACACAGAAGAATTTTGCGATTTTAAATTTAAAAAAGAGAGTTATGCTAATTTTAAAATATTGCCATGCAAATTCATGCTGTGCAAGGTCACTGGTTTTTAGACTTTTTGCTCAACTTTTTGCAGTCGGTTCTGTCAGTATGTTTATATTGTGTATGCATGTACTGTTTTTATACACTATGTATGTGTACAATACATGCTATCTAAATGTAGACCGTATAATGCTGTTTTTATTGATGCACAGATGATGTTGAAAAATGAATACATTCTATGAGGGAAAAAATCATATGTTCAGTTCTGCCTTTTTTGCTTCTTTGTTTTGGCCATCAAATTACTGGCAACTTATAGCAACCCCATAGGGTCTTCAAGGCAAGAAATGGTCAGAGGCAGTTTGCCATTGCCTACCTCTGCATAGCGACCCTGGTATTCCTTGGAAGTCTCCTATCCAAGTACTAACCATACCCATCCCTGCTTAGCTTCCAAGATCTGACAGCCTGGACTATCCAGGTCAAGGCCAGTTCTGCCATAGAAAAAGCAAAAAAGAAACAGTGGTTTTCAGGCTGAAACAACTAGGATGAGAAATTCAAGAATACTCTTGCCTATCACGTCAGCTGCTAACTAAGACTTCAATAGGGTTGTCAGGTCTGATGTCTGTGTTGACGAGGGGTGGGAGGGAAGTTTCCAGGAGCAGGATTGAGCGACGTGGAGATGACGTCATCATGTTGGGGACATCGTGTAGCAATGCTCTTGCTTTTGGCTCTTGCTTTTGGCAAAACTCTATGGTAAAATTGGCATCAAACCATGGAGTTTTGCCCAAAAACCAGAGTGTCACCATGCAACGTCCCTGATGCAATGATGTCACTTCCTCATAACATCAGCATGTTGGGGATGTCGTGCAACGACATTGCTGTTTGGGGTGGGCTTTCCCTCCGCTGGCCAGCTGGCTAGTGGCGGGCAGAATCCCCATAAAGTGGGAATCCCCCACTCAGAACGGGGGAACTCCCACCTTAGATTGCAACAAGACCCTAGCACATGTCAGAAGATACTGAACAATGTTCTAGGGGTGAATGCTAAAATATGGGGTCTTACCTTTGTCCTGCATGAAATGAAAACTTAATTTAGAGTAAGTCCAATATTCTCCTGCAGCTGTGCACTGGAAGGGAAAACATGTAGCTGAATGTGTAAAGCTGCCTTCTACTGAGTCAGACCCTTGCTCTGTTAAAGTCAGTATTGTCTACTAGGACTGGCAGCAGCTCTGCAAGTTCTCAGGTCAAGGTCTTTCACGTCACCTCCTACCTGAACTTTTTAGCTGGAGATGCCAGGGCTTGAGCCTGGGACCTTCTGCATACAAAGCAGACAGGGGATGGTGCAATTTTTAAGGAATGCTTTCATGCTATTTCCACTCTTTTAATTGTGGAACTGCTTGTAAGCTTCCTAACCATACTTAGAGTTCTCTGGAACAAAGTTTTAAAACCACTGGTTTAGACAGAGAGCAAGAACAATACATTACTCATGGACATCTGAAGTTTCTTGGACAACCATAGATGGCCTGGATAGAGAAGTCGGTGATATGGATTGGCCTCTAGCACATGCTGCAATGTTGGGTTGTTGTTTGTTTGTTTTTTAAAATCCTTTCTTTTCCAGGATGTGGATGCTGCCTACCTGAACAAGGTTGAACTGGAGACCAAAGGGGACAGCCTCACAGACGAGATCAATTTCCTGAAAGCTTTCTATGATGCAGTAAGTTTAATATTTCATGTTTTTCCCCATGTAGCCCTGTTGCAGGCTAGATTTGCATCTTAATCTCCCACCTCTTTCAATACGTCTCCTTCCCATCCAGTAAGGCTTATCCAACGAGACGGCTTCTTTGTGGACAAGTTTGGTAGAGGTAGATATTCTAATATCTGTCAACCAATGAACTCCTCCTTCTACTTTTTATTTAGGAACTGGCTCAATTGCAGTCACAAATTTCTGACACCTCCGTCGTTCTGCAAATGGACAACAACCGAAGCCTGGACCTGGACAGCATAATTGCTGAGGTCAAAGCACAGTATGAGGACATTGCCAATAGAAGCAGAGCTGAGGCAGAATCCTGGTATCAAAGCAAGGTGAGAGGGATCAACATTCTTCAATGCTGAGCAAATAAATTTGGAAGAAGAATAATGTGATTCTGGAGACATAGCCGGGTTTGATTTTGAGTAGTGACATGGGATGTTCCATAGGGAATGGCTATGTTACTGGGGTGTGGCATAATTTAGAAAGTTTAGGAAAATGTTGCACAAAAACTGGGAAATATTAATTTTTTGAATTTAAATTTGCCAGTCTTTCGTGGATTATTATCAAAAGGTAAAAAAAAACAGAAGTCCAAAGGCATTTTAGAGACTAACAGAATTTATTCCAGCTTTCATGAGTTGCTTAATCAGATTCTGGAATGAATCTTGTTAGTCTCTAAAATGCCACTGGACTTCTGTTGTATTTTGCTACTACATACCAACACAGCAACCCATCTAACATTATCATCAGCATGTAAATATTCACATACACTCATCTCTGGTGCTGGTATAGTGATTACAGTGTTTGGCCAGGACTGGAGAGACAGCTGGTTTCAAATCTCTGTATATGACACTCATTGGGTGACCTTAGGCCAGGCTCTCTGTTGCAGCCAACCTACCTCACAGGGTTGTTGTCAGGGGTCGTTTCGTAGAAAAAGAGCTAGGGAACTCATTAGCATAACTCATTAGCATATGCCACACCCCCTGACATCATAAGGCCCGGCGATGGACCTGCAAGGCTGGCGGGAGTGCGAGGAAGCCCCGCCAAGGCCCTCCCTGGCCCCAGGCAGGCAGGGGTGGGGAGAGGCGGGGAGGAAGCAACTTACCCTCCCTCTTCTCGTGCCTCCTCCTGGCTGAATGAGGGCCAGAAGCGGGGCGGCCGGAAGCAGGGGGCGGGGCTTCGTCGTGTGCCCCGCCTCCCCGCACCTCACCCTGGGGAACTGCGATCCCCTGCGATTCCCCCCGAATCGACCTCTGGTGGTTGTAAGGATGAAGTGGGAGGGGGGGGAACCTTCTGTGCTGCCCTATGCTCCTTAGATAAGATAAAAACGTGATTGGTAGATCAAAACTTAAGCATCTCCTCAACAACTGTCCAACGAAGTTCAACATTTAAATTTAGCAGAACGGATGTGGCCATAGCAACCTTTTTGTTCTTTTTTCTTTTATGGTATGCTTATAACCATTTCCACATTATTGTATGCAATTTATATGAAACTGGTGCATAATAATTGTAAAAGTGTGTTCAATTTTGATGGTAAGTATTCAGCATTTGGGGAAACTGGTGTGAAAACAAAGTTTCACAAGTTTGCTGTTTCCCACAAGGGAGGGAGGAGACCAAAGTGAATTGCCTCAGTGACAAGATCAGTGGTGATATTTGAATTAGACCAGGTAGCTTTTGAAACTTCATCACATTCCGGTTTAGGAGTTCAGTTGCATTCATTTGGTTGGGTTTATCTCTCTCACTTCTCTCAGTATGAAGAGTTGCAGCTCACCGCTGGTAGACATGGAGATGACTTGCGAAACACGAAGATGGAGATCTCAGAGATGAACCGCATGATTCAAAGACTCCACTCTGAGATTGACAATGTGAAAAAGCAGGTACCGTTTCCATCATATTTCTCCTAAACCAAGATTCCCCATTCAGATTTTAAGGTGCCTCTCTGAGAAACAGGCAAACATTTCCCAACAAATGTTTTAATGGCTGATGTTACGTTTGTATGTATTTCAACTCTGTTTTTAATTGTTTTAATGATGTGAGTGTATGGGGGATATTTTAATGGTTTTAAAATATGATTGTTATGGCAAATGATCCTTGGGAGATATTGTTTTCGTGCCTCACTTCAGAGCCAATGTATAGTTGGCAGGGCTCTTTTTGTAGAAAAAGCCCAGCAGGAACTCATTAGCATAATAGGCCACACCCAACAGCAAAACCCATTAGCATATTAGGCCACACCCTGACAGCACCGCTCAGTAGCACATTAGGCCACACCCCCATGTTACCAGAAGTGTGGTCATCCAGCCACACCCACCTTTTCCTTCTTATTCTGTTTACCTTGTTTGTTGCCAAAACCCAGGGCTTTTTTTGGAGCAGGAACTCCTTTGCATGTTAGGCCACACACCCCTAATGTAGCCAATCCTAATGGATTTCTGCTGTTGAGTGTGGCCTATTATGCTAATGAGTTCCTGCTGGGCGTGGCCAACTCAGGAGCCAGCCAGAACTCCGTTCCTGTGCATTCCTCCCCAAAAATAGCCCTGGTTGTTAGAGTATTGGACTAGGACTGGGGAGACAGAGGTGTCAGATCCTCCGTCTGCCATGAAGCTCACTGGGTGACCTCGGGCCAGTCGTTTTCTCACAGCCTAGCTTTTCTAATAGAATTGTTGGGAAATAAAGTGCAAATGGGAGAGCCATGTATCTCCAGGTCTCCAGCAGCCAGGAATAGACCTTTGGTCTGATCAAGCAGGCCTCTGGTACTGGGGCACCTTGGCTATTGGAAGGCAACCTACCTATTTATCATTCTGCTGACCTTGCCAAGCTGTGTCAAGCTATTAGGACATTTGCTGTGAGGAAAATGCACATGGGTAGTGCATGCAAGGTTCTTTAGTGTTTGAAAGACACAGATCTCTTTTTGTACCGGGGTCCTCTTCCCATTTTCCTGATGCTGACACAAAGGATCCAGATATTCTCTTTGGAATACCAAGGGCTGGGCTTGTGATTTCAAAAAAAGGAAAAAAAAAGAGCTCCTGTTTAGAAAAATCTCATCTCCTTCCTTTTGCAGTGCGCTGCACTGCAGACGGCCATTGCAGATGCTGAACAGCGTGGTGAGCTCGCCCTTAAAGACGCCAGGATAAAGCTGACTGAACTGGAAGAGGCTCTAACAAAGGCCAAGGGTGAGATGGCCCGTCAGCTGAGGGAATACCAGGAGCTGATGAACGTCAAGCTGGCCCTGGATATTGAGATCGCCACCTACAGGAAGCTGCTGGAAGGCGAGGAGAGCAGGTGGGCGGAGCCTAAGAACTTGTGCGAAATAAGGTGCCCTGTTCTCTGTTGTGAAATCACTTCAGTGAAGGATGTTGCCTGCGGTGCCTAGCTCTCAGTATGCTGCAGGGGGGAAAGGACCCTCTTTTTGTACAAGCCATTATTTCTCTGTTCTGTTTGTGGGGATTTTTACCGCTTCTGGACCAGACTTCTCAGAGCAGCTGCAAATGTACGTCATCTAGGTCTTTACCATGGAGGAGGCCAGTTTGATAGTGTGATCAAAGTACCTCAATTGCCAATTGTTTTAAGGAAAACACTCTCACTAAAACTAAGTCAAAATACTTCATTGGTCTTATGGGGAAAAGAAGCACAGAGAGCAGAAACTGATATAAAGTAAACATGCAGGTTAAGGGACAGAGTCTTGGCCTCCAATAATGAACATCTGCAGCATAGGCAGTTGTAGCCACCACTGGTGAAGGACATCTGCACCTGATATGTAAGTTCTGACCTTCTATAGTTGCCAACCTCCAGAGATCAGTTCGCCTGGAGAAAATGGCCACTTTGGAAGGCTGACTCTATGGCATTATACCCCCACTGAAGTCCCTCCCCGAACCCCACTCTCCTCTGGCTCTAACCCCCAAATCTCTCGGTATTTCCCAATCCACAGCTGGCAAACATAGGAGCCCCATTTTCAGCTGTTCTGCCACCCTGTTTGGCATATCACATGGAATAAGCTACTCTTCAGCTTTATCAACACAGAAGCACAAAAACATGCCTCGGCCAAGGCAGCAAGAACAATATCCATGTGCCCCGTCCCATGTCACTTGCTGCCACCACCATCCCTTCCTCTATCACATTTGTGAAAGATTACAGATGTCACGACAGTCTTGGCCGAGTTCACCTCCATACAGAAACTGTTTCCCCTCACTTAAATTTTTTTCTGCTGAGTTGCACTGTACCAATAGCACAGCTCAGCTGGGAAAGCGATGAAAGCCCTTTAAAGGGCTGGAAAGGGATGGTGCATGGTAGCAAGCTACCCCCTGCCATTTTGAATGCAGAGCTTGGCTCTGCCCATGTTCCATCCACAGCCACCCCACAGTTCCCTTTCTGAACCAGATCAAAAGAGGATTGTTTTGGATCTGGTACAAAGGGAAAGCACTCAGGAAGCCCAGAAGTTCTGCTCAGAATGAACAGGATGCTGTGTGGACATTCCCATCAAATGTGGTGGTTTCATGTGTTCCATGTGTGGAAAAATACCTGAGTGGAAGCAACCATCCTATAGCAAATTGGGAGAGCTGTGGCAGCGGAGATCAAATCTCATCCAATCAAAATTTGCAGGAACCTTACTTACAAGGATCCCTTGGGTAGGATCACTACGAGGACCCCTGCCAGTTTTCCCAGTTGATGTCACCCAGTTCCCCTCCTCACGTAGCCTCTGTTCCATTTCGCTTTTGTCCACATGAGTCCCATGATCCCCAGTTAAGTCTTTCTGATGAACAAAAGGCATTCTCCTTCCCTTTTGTACTGGTGAGAAAACTGGCAGAATCCAACCCTTTATTTGTTTGTCTTCACTCTATCCTCTCATGGAAACATGGCCACTAAAATAATTAACAATGCACTTAGGCTTCTCATTGCTAACTGTTTTGAGAGCATTAAATTTTTATCTAGGTACAATTAGGCATAAGAATACCAAAAATCCAGAGAGCAATCCACATAATCATTTATGGAGGTGATGAGGCAAAGACACCAGCACATAAAATGAAAGTTGTGCATGCAAAAAGACCGTCAATGGTCCAGTGTTGTCCAGGAATTAACTGCTTCTGAACCACCATTACCCTTCTTATGGCTCCTATTCATGACAGTAACTTCCCTTCTTGTCTCCTTTAACAGGCTGGCTGGAGAGGGTGTTGGTGCAGTAAATATATGTAAGTAATAATCGACTGAAATCACAGAAACTCAATAAGACAGTTATGAGCCTTTTGAACTAGCACTGCATAGGTTTTGTGTCAATGCAACTGCACAAACAGTAGTTTTGGAAACCACCAAACCCCCCTCGTGAAATGTTTCTGTTCTTAATGTAACTTTTCTGTCAACTCCTCAGATTATTTTTTTTTCTGAGTGGGAGAGTTCAAAAAACTCATTCTAAATTTTTCTTTAAGCAAAATCTGCAGGCACCCTATACAGAATCTCCCTCAGAAATTTTGCTTATCTGAGCAAAATACTTGTGGGATTTCAGAGGAAAAATCTCCACATTCACTTTGAATTTCACTTCAGGTAAATTTTCACTGCCAGTTTTAACCTCCTGAGATGCCCTATGAATAAATAAGTTGGCATGCTGGGTCAGGAGGACAAAGGTCCATCTAGTCAAGTTTCCAAAGAGTGAAAATTCACAGAAAGGGCGTGACAGAGGTACAGAGGAGCAAGCAGTTCCCAATATAGTTTGTTTTTATATTTTTGTCGGTGGTTTTAGATCATTGCACTTTGCTGTTAGATTTGTAGATTCATTTCAATTGTGCACACACGCTGTATTGTTTTTTAAAAAAGCAATTTGCACTTTATTTGAACAACATATATCATTTTTACGTATTGGTGTCATGTTGATTTACTGATTCACATCTGATGTTGAATGATGCATACATTTTTGGTGTGAGGAAACAGAAAATGGTGCAAAATAAACCACAGATTTGATTCACACAAGGAAGAAGAAAAATCCCAATGAATATTTTTCAAGTCAAAGCAGCCAGAATGAGAAAATCAACCTACGTGGAGGCTGCCCTCCCCTGGCATCTGCCAGTTGGATTTATATTATATCAGAGATTCCATTCCTGGCTATCATGGCTACAAGCCATTAACAATAGTCCTGTCCTCCATGAACTTCTCAAATCTGTTTTTACAAACATACTGAATGGTATTTAGAGCCTGAGCAGATTCTGATGTACTGGCCAGGCGAAATATTTATTAACAATACGAAGGAGTGTTATCATGGAATTGAAAATACTTCAGAACAATGTTTGGGGGAAGCATGTGGGACCTTGCCCTATAATTCTCCTGCCAATGCAATGGAAAGGTCATTGTGCAGCCTTTCTGAGCTGGAGGAGGGGAGGACAGTGGGGTCTTTGCAAGCAAAATAGCCCTAAAAGGACAAGTGGCACCATTAGCTGGACAGGGAATCTGCTACAGGCAAAAAAATGCTAAATGCACCACCAAGGCTTACGTTCTATTCTTTTCCAAAGTGTCAGTGACTGAGCACAGGGCTGCAATTAGCATACAAAGGCAGATCAAGAAAGGATAAGTGCAGGAAGTGGGCAGAAACTGTGCTAGTATGGAAATGGCTTCACTTTGGCCTGTACGGGGTACTAGCTTTACTATGGAAAAAGTTGTGAGTTGGCCAAGCGTGTCCACTATTCTGTGCAGGATTCAGCTTTTAAAGCTCAACCAGACTACATATTTGACACAAGTCAGGCTGGGGGTCCCCAACTGCAGTACATGTGGGGCACTACAGTGGGGCAACCACGGTTCCCCCATGACTGTTTTGGCTCAGGAAAATGATGGAGGAGGGAAAGCTGAAGCTCCTCCCCCCCGCCCCCCCTGCTCACAAGTTAAATTCAGCCTTGTAGCTTCTGGGAACATTAATTTCCCTGATATTACATCTGACGCAAGTTGGGTTGGGGGACCCCTGAACCAACTCATGTCACATGTATCATCTAATTGAGCCCTTAGTTTGCTGGTAAATGCTGGCTAATGAAGCTTGTCAGTCCATGTTAAAAGTCTAACCCTACATGCGGCATCTAGCATCATGTGCTGTGGGCTTAGATATGCAAGTTTTTTCAGACACCAGGTATGTACTGAGATGATCATGGGGAATCCCCCTGAATATACACAGGCACTTGTGTCCCATTGTGTCCCCATACAGGCCCCAAAGAGCACTTTGGTTGGGGTCACAGCACCGTTTAGTGACCCCGGGCCCTAAAGCCAGGCTAGCTACCACGAGGGGCAGGTCCTTTTCGGTGGCGGCCCCTATCTGGTGGAATGAGCTCCCGGAGGAGATCAGGGCTCTATGGGACCTTTTACAGTTCCGCAGAGCCTGTAAGACGGAGCTCTTCCGCCAGGCTTTTGAGTAGGGGCCGCCACTACCACCACCGCATATATGCGGAGCAGGACCATCGGGGATGGGCCGATGGGAAATGGGGACATCATGGCTCATGCTGTCTCCCTTCTGATTTTGACTTTGGACCTCCTCATGACATGTAATGGAGAATGTGGAATTTAGTCCTTCATGTATCCGTGAGATGTTAATATTTTTAGCTTCTGTTGTTTTAACGTATTTGTTTTATAGCACCTTGTGCCCTGTAAGCCGCCCTGAGCCTGCGTGCGGGGAGGGCGGGATAGAAATGGAATGAAATAAATAAATAAATAACATTGAATTTGGAGTAAACATGCATAGGTTTGTCCTCTACAAATATGTATAGGTTCAGTGTCTTGGGGTAACTGTGGTCTCCCAAAGAGAAGAATGAAATTAATTTGCCATCCAGGCTTCCAAAGTTAGCGAGATGCATCTCCCATCTCCTCTGCATCATGATTTGGCTTATGTTTTCAGGAAGTTCTGATTCCCTTCTCTGGTTCCATGAACTCTGAATCTCTCCTGTTATCTCTTTGCAGCTGTGGTCCACTCATCTGGAGGAATGAACTATGGTGGTGGAAGCGCCCTTGGTCTTGGGACGGGGCTGGGCCTTGCGGGCGGAACGAGCCTTGGATACGGAGGAGGCCTCAGCGTCGGGGGAGGCGGCTTCAGCTCCGGCAGTGGGAGGGGGTTAGCTGGGAGCATGAGTTCAGCCAGGGGAGCCACTTCCAGTATGAAGATTGTATCAAAGACCTCCACATCCAGAAAGAGCTACCAGAGCTAAAAACTTCAGGGTTGCCGGGGGAGGGGGAGGCAATGCAAATGTGGTGTCAGCAGACACATGGGTTAGAACTGATTTGTCACCAAATTCCCATAAACTCTGTAGGATGAGGGTGTGATTCAAATGGGTGGGGGAGCAGGGGGTACTGAACCATTCCCCACCCCCATCCACACTTTTCTTCCTGAAACCACTTCTCCTTGCGTGTTTTCCCCCCCAGTGGGGTTCCAAGACCAGTAGTAAACTCTGCCAAGAGAAAATGGTACAAGGGAGAAGGGGTTTCTGGGAAGGGAAGGTGCCAAAGTGGGAAGGGCTGCATCCTGCTGCCCACTAATGCTGCCCTTTCAATATTTCCTCTTCCGACTTTATAAAGAATTTAACACAACCTGCTGTCTAACACACCAGGTGTGCTGCCATCACATCTAACTTGTCCCCTCCACCCTTACCTGCAGACTCCATACACCTTCTCACAAATGATTCCCATAATCTGCTTATGCTGATCAGCAGCACCCTGTATGAATACTGGTGGTGTCATTCGGCGGACCAAATGTAAGACTTCAACTCAGATTCAAGGCCCTGCCCAGTTGTGAATGTCTTGGGCGACCTTGAGCAAGATCTTGGCCTCAGTTCCCCCAGCATTAAAATGGAAGCAGTTCTGACCTGCCTCAAATTGTTGTTGTTGTCATCTGTGAGATAATGCTTATTGTAACCGGTTTGTCAGTAAAGAAAAATTGGCTCTTCGATTGACCTCTGAAATCTGTTCCTGCTGTATCTTGGGTTATTTCGATAGCTACGTCAAAGAGGCAAATGCACATACCACTAATTCATATAAGGTCTATTTAGCTGCACAAGAGGCTAATTCATATAAGGTCTATTTAGCTGCACTCAGGCACAGAGGAATAATCCTGCATCTGGCTTATCAACTGATCTGTGAATTAGCAGTTGGATTCCTAAACTCTTCTAATTCATGGCTACGTCACAGAACTGTGTGGGTGTACCGTTCATAGAAGACATTGGCGATTATCTGTAAATGCAGTGGGAGCTTACATGAAGAGGCCTTATCCTGAATCACACCCAATCAAGACCGGTGTTGTCTATTCTGACTGCAGCAGCTCTCCAAGGTTTCCAGCAGAGGTCTTTCGCTTAACCTGCTGTCTGATTCTTTTAACTGGAGATGCCCAGGATTGAACCTGGGACCTTCTGCATGCAAGGCAAAAGCTCTGCCACTGAGCCACAGCAATAGTTCTGCTGGGTGATTCATGGGTACCACCTCAAGTCTGCAGGAAGAATCAGGCCTTCAGCTGAGAACTGGCATAAATTAGTGGCTACGAGAGGGCTTGACAAAACCAGGAAGTCCTTGGTTGAAATCCTGCCCCTACCACACACTCTCAGAATTGGTAGCATTAGGTAAGCTGCCCCCTTTCAACTTCATGCCTGTTCTGTAATACAGGGATTGTAATACTGATTTACCTTACAGAGTTGGATATTCTGTAAGTGCTATCTGAGTATTATTATCTGCCTTGATGGCAGTTCTGTCCACGGGTTGTCAAGGAGGAAAACCCACAACATCCCATTTTTAAAGTCTCATTGCAGCGGGAGGAGGAGGAGACTGGATTTATACCCCACCCTTCACTTGGAGTCTCAGAGCGGCTTACAAACTCCTTTCTCTTCCCCTCCCCACAACAGACACCTTGTGAGGTAGGTGGGGATGTGAGAACTCTCCTTGAGAGAACAGTTCTGAGAGAACTATGGCTTGACCAAGGTCATCCAACAGCTGCAAGTGGAGAGTGGGGAATCAAACCCAGTTCTCCCAGATTAGAGTCCGCGCACTTAACCACTACACCAAACAGTTTATCATGCCAGGAACTTAATTGCCTTAAGAGGACTGAGCTGCAGTTTGAGTTCCAGAGGAAGAACAACACAAACAGTCTACAGCCCAACCAATATCTATAACTAACAACCCCATAAGAATTTCCAGGGGACATCTTGGTTAACAAATTCATGGAGGGCCAGGGCAGACATATTTAAAAGCATCCTGGTTTTGAAATATCTGCAGTCATGCCCCCCTGTAAGTGCTCGCTATACCAGTTTAAATCTAGGAGACCACAGTTATGCCCATTTTGGAATTGGAATGCATTTGCAGTTGTGACTTGCCTGGTCCGTTGTTCCTAGCAATACCAGTGCAACAGTTGTTTCTTGCTTGCCCAGACTTCATCAGAGATTCTTGCATTTGTATGCATCTGTCAACTAATCCATTGCAATGGGTAGGAAGTATCCAGAACAGGAAGGCAGCAGGGGAACATCCGCTGTACTATAGCTAAAGCATATATATTGTGGTAGGTCTCTGTCATTCAGCACACTCTAGTTCCCCTGATAACTATGTGTAGTGGATGAGATCGATTCTCTGATTTGCAGAGGAAACAAATATGATATGGTCCATTCAGGGAAAGTACACATATTACCCTGTAGAGCATAATATTGCACTTTTCAGACACTCCTCCCCATACTTCTGGTTCAGTGAATAATCAACTGGGAGGATACTATGCAGACACATCTTTTGTATGCTCCCCCTGATCCATGTCAGTGCAGGGGTAAGCTCTGCCCCCACCCCCGGCAGCTTTCTGCACATGCAGTTAATTTGTTCATTTTTATGCACCTCATCCTGTTGATTAGAGAAGTGAGTCAAAGAAATGATCTAAATAAACAAATTCTTCTGGTGCCTACAAAGCTGATCCTCCACGGAACTGAATGGAGAAACAATTTGTGAGCAGTGGAGCTTTGCATGACTACCATAGACCTTGAGTCTGCAATAACTGCAGAATCAGAGTTATTTCATACGGGTGTAATACAAATCCATATTAAAAGGGTTACATTGGAACAGACATTGCCCAGTTTCCAACCTTCTTATGCTATGTGCATAATATTGTTCTCTGAAAATTCAGCCCTTTTTCTTCATGTATTTCCTCACCTGAGCATTTCCCTGATAAAATTATATATATATCTGTCATTTGTTTTACCTCCCAAGCTGCAAATGTTATCATGCTATTCTACCATTTCCCCTTTATTCTGCTGTTCAGCGCAATTAGCCGTATAAAAACCCCCTATATCAATAATTTTCATATCCCTCATCACTGAAGTCCAGAATTTAATAAAAATAATTAAGTGGCACTATCACACATTTCAACCAAAGTTAAGCATGTTTAAGCTCCATTGAGTTTAGTGAGAGATTTACAGTGCAGTCGTAAATACAGTTAAACCCCTCTAAGTTAATTGACTTCAGCAGACTCTGTTTAGGATTACACTTTTATGCTATTGTTAGCCAAATGAGCTGTTGTCCTGGTATGCAGATGTTCAATGAACCACACAAAGAGACTCTGCTTTAGATGCTTTATTCAGAATAAAGGGAAACAGCCAAGTGTTCTGAAAAATACAATCATGATTTCCTACTTTTATACTTTGTACAAACAAAGCACCACAGATTGATTGGTTACAAAACACACAAAGCATCATAATTTGATTGTTCATGAAGCTGATTATGTTTATAAAATTTTCCGCTATACTCGTATTTTTCCTGTCTTGATTACTCACGTTAATGATTAACTTTTGATTAATTTTCTATTTTATTTTACTAATGATCCATTTCTCCTTTGGACTTCTTGCTCCATCTTATCTTACATTGTCGTTACTGAACCATATCCTCCAGATATCCTCTCTCTTTCCTTTAATTTACCATCCTCACTTGCCTGCTCTTAAGGGTATCCATCTTTCCTTAGGACACCTGTATCACATCTTGTCATTATTCTTTCTACTCCCTTTTAAGAACATTCAATTTCTACTTTCCCTGTGGCTTGTGGTCTCCTAAAATCAAATACCTTATTAATCTACCCCTTTCCTATATGTTCTACAACATGTACAGTCAGTGGAACTTAAAAGTCCATAACTTCGGTTGAAACATGCCCAGTATAAGAAGACAGTCTGTACCATGCTGGAAATTACATTTGTTGAGACTTATCAATCTTTTCATGTGGAATAATCTTCTGGAAAAAGAAATAAAATAAAAAGTTTTTGGTCTTTCAACATACTGGATCTAATAATATGATTCTTGAAAGCATTCTTTTGGTTTCAGAAAATAAGCCTACAAATCCTATGCTGATTTTACAAACTAACTTAAGCACACTTAAAAAAAATTAAATGAAAATGTTTTGGGATTCAGGGACAAGTTGTGGGAGGGGGGAGTTGTATGTTACCATTCTGAAATAAAACTATAAGGGCCCCGGTCACATGGGCAGGAAAATTCATGGGGAAGCGTGGCTGTTTGCCCCGGTGCAAAATAATGTGTGGTTGCGCGATCAGACATCCCCTCGAGATCCCCTCGAGGTCCCGTGGTTAGGGGGGAGGTGCCGATCACATGACATGGCAAAGAAGCGGCGCGGCAAACTTGGCTGTGTTTTGGTTTTAAACTGAAGTGTGCGCATACGCCGTTGGGTGCTTGTGCGCATCGTGGAGACTTGAGGAAAAAACTTTTTGCATGTCGTACCCCACCCAAGAACCCCCTGCCTGCTCCATGGCGTTTCCCTTGAGTCCCCGCGTCGTCGTCACACACACCCCCCCCACCCCCGGCACTCGTGCCTTGCCCAGGAGGTGATGCCGGCGTTGCTCATCCCAGGAAGGTGCCGGGGGGCTGGCTAGTGCGAAGCTCTCTCTCCCCCTCCCCCACGACGAGTCGTCTGCTCTTCTTTCCTCTTCATTGCGCTAGAAGAGAATGGCGCTGGTGGGAAGGGAACCCCAGGGTGGGGTGGACACACCTTTTTGCGAGGGGACATGGGCGGGCACCGGATGCCACCAGAAACGCGATCAGACGCCCGCCCTTGCCCCGTAGTTACCGCAAACTAGTACCTCGGAGGTACTAGTTTTAACTGCGCATCTTCGGAGGGAAGCCTCAGGTTCGCCATGGGAGCTCTATGCTTCCCAGATGTGGCGCTGTGATCGCGCCCGGATAATCCGCCTAT